TACCCGTGCGTATATGGATAGTTCCTGTATACGTTAAGGAAATTTATCACGTGATAGGAACAGAATCCACGTATGGGAGGAGTCCTACTCGGACAAGATTGGGTCTTTACCGTATCATGAGGGGTCCGATATCTCCGAGTCCTACTTGGAGATCAACTGACCCGCGGTATAAAAGGGACCCCCTGGATAGGACCTAAGGCATCGAATCGCACCGCCAACACATCCACCACAGCCTACGAAGCCGGAGCCTACAGGAGCCAAGTCGCCGGGTGATCTAGTCAAACCAACTCGACTACGGTCTCGTTGGTATCATCGAGTTCTGTTATTCCCTTTGTAATCTGTGGTTTTCATCATATAATCCCATACCAACTGGACTAGGGCTATTACCTACCAAGGGGCCTGAACCAGTATAATCCTTGTCTTCTGTTTGCTTTATGTCGTACTACGTAGATCCTCGTACCAGCGTACCCCAATACCCTCTATATCCGGTCTACGGTTATCCCCTGTCGACACATAATACGTGATAAATCCTTTTAACGTGTACGGAAACAACCCGTATACGCGAACGTATACCATATTCGTATATTCCATAAGTCGTAGAATAGGAGGTATGCCTTATACGTAACCATGACAATATACAATTCACATGTTGTTAAACTGCATGAATTTCTAAAAATTAGCGGTTAAAAATAGCATGTTTAACTTAGGACAAACATAAAAAAATTAAAACAGATGTAGAATTTGAAACTATTGTCATATGTGTTAATTTCGTAGTTGTTCATAACATATTTTAAAATAAATTAATAGTTAAATCATAATGTTAGAGACGTATAAAAACCTAATATGTCTCATATTTTAGAGCTGAAGCAGCATGTTCCCCCCCCCCCCCCCCAAGCTATGGTGCATGTATGCTAATGAAGGTAAAAAATAATTGTTCATTGAAGTACTTTCGACAGTGTCACACTCATCTGGAAGACTGCATCAACAATATATCCCTAAAGCTAGCCATGGGAAGAACCTTTATTGTGTATCTCTCAATATCTGCATGCATAATCTACTTTGCTATAGAGTAGGCACATCAGGTGACGGCTGGGTATTACTCCTCCATTGATTTTATTGGGTGAACTGAAATTTGGAAAGCTCAAACTTGGTATATTTTAACCAATTTTCACTCATATTATAATCTTTCTGTTTCAAATTACTTCTCATTCTAGTTTCGTTCGAAGTCAAATATTTCTATATTTGACTACAATTTTTAGAAATTCATATGGTTTAACATCAGAAGATTTATATTCTTTATATTTTCCATGAGAAATACTTCTATAATATATAATCCATATGTTCTTGATGGCCAAATATAGAAGTGTTTAACTTAGATAAAACTGAACCCAATAAATTTAAAACGGAGGTAGTAAGTTCTTTTATATATGAAGTGTAAAAAACCATACCAATATATTTATATTTCAAAGTATGTTTTTCTACTATATATGTTAGTTTTATGGCTAGCAAAAATAGTTATGAGAAATCTACTGATGGTCCAGGTTTTGTTTTAGTAATTTTCAAATTAGATTACGTCCTATGAAATCAAATGACATATATGGCAATATTATCAAGTACAGCTGTTAAGAAAACAGGCAAAATTACAAACACAAAAAAAAATTGGCATCAAAATTGGCTAAAAAAACAACATAAACATATCGATTCAACCCAACAAAGGGCAGCATATATATTCTACCTTTGGTGTCAAACGGTCAGGTAAACTCATTGTCCCAAAATGTCCCCAGCTACCTACAAAACTCTCCTCTCCCTCCCATTTTCTTTCTTTCTTTCTTTCTTTCTTTTCAGTTTCATAATTGCACGTCTTAGTATATTCAACGCTAAAATGTGGAAACCTCCTGCCAGCATATGCAGAGTGAGTAATACATGACACATGGTCACATATATTCAGGGTAACACATGACATATTTACTCCCTCCGTACTCATAAAGGAAGTTTGACTTCTGGTTTCTATAAAAATATTTATTGAAAAGTGATATATGTATACTTTTATGAAAGTATTTTTCAAGACAAATCTATTCATATAATTTTTACATTTTCAAACTCAACAACTTGAGAGTTATTCATAATTTATATTCCCAAGGTTTGACTTAAACATTGTCCTAAACGACTTCCTTTACGAGTATGGAGGGAGTATATTGGAAGTGGAAGGGTGATTGAAGCGAAGATAAATAATAATAATAATCAGAGGTTAACTATCGCTGGGATAATTAGTACCGCAGAAATAATACTTACATTGTGTATAAAATTACCACTATTAAATGTGGCAATTAACCATTTACCACCTAAATCTACATGTCATATACACAAAAGAATTCACGTGCATTGACCCATGAGTGATAAATTGTTAAACGTTAAACCTAAAAATTACAAATGGTTAAACATCAAACCTAAAAGTTGCAAATGGTTCAACGTTAAATCAAAAGAGTGGCAGATGCCCCTGGGAACGGAGCGAGTACACTTTAAACCAATGACATCCGGTCAATCAGGTCGCCGGGCTATCGACCAGCCATAGCGCCATCCATGTCGCCTCGCCCATCGACATGTGTCATGTGGCGCGGCCACAGCAAACCGCAGCAGTTCATGTCTTCAAGATCTCGCATCCGATCCTCTTGAGTGTCTGTCAGCTAGCTGATCGATGCCATTTTGAAGCACTACTGGAGATCATCTTATTCCAAAAAAAAAAAAGTACTGGAGATGGAGCAAGCTAGATAGCCTTTTGAGCTAGTCAAATCCCTGCATATGTGCTCATCCATTCCATTTCTCCTGCCGTCCTTGCTGCCAGCAAAAGGGGGCACAGTCCTGTGTGTGGGCAACTGTTGCACGCGGTGGAGATGACCAGCCAAACATGGGGTGTTTGATGCAATGTTGCACACAGTCCTGCGTGTGGACAATTTGTTTGTTCATCCAATGTTTCTACTACTAGGTTTATGTTTGTAAGCACTTCCATCTTGCATGTCGGCTTGTTGAGAAATAATATGATGTACTCCCTCCGTTTCATATTGTAAGACTTTCTAGACATATATATGTGTCTAAATTCATTAATATCTATGGTTGGGTTTAGTTCCGCACCGAAATTGGAAGTTTGACTGAAATTGGAAGTTTAAAAAAAAAAAGTTAGAAGTTTGTATGAGTAAGAAAGTTTTGATGTGATAGAAAAGTTAGAAGTTTGAAGAAAAAATTAGAAAGGCCTATATAAATATGGAGAATGCTAGAAAGTCTTACTTCGTGAAACGGAGGAAGTAGTCATTTTGGGTGCTTAGATGGCATTGTGCTTAATAAAATTTGGGTAAAAACCCATTTTTAACCCCTTGAACTTTACCCGAAGTCTAATTTTCACTCTAAATTACAAAACCGGTATTTTTCTCCCTAAGCTTTTAAAACAGGGGAAAAATGCCTGTAAAATTACTTTTTAGTGATTTTATTCAAAATGGAGGTGGCCTTTTCCTAATTCATATTCTTATTGTTTACGTTTTATTGTTGTATATGTCACTTAAGTAGGTCCAGAACTATGAAACTTACCTAAGCAAAGTTCATCGCATTAGAAAACTACTGTCATGTACTCATATCTATTTTCGGATATTAGCTGATTCCATATTAATTTCTTTTTCTCAAAAAAAAACTTAGCAACTGGTTGCCATACCAATATTTATGTAAAATCCTTAAATAACAACAATTCCAAATAAAAAATTGAAATGCTTTGAAGTAAATATAGTTGTGGAAAATTCATGGGATATTTGACTAGTTGCTATGAAACTCAAGTTGCTGTGCTTGATTTGCATGCGCAGACAACAAATAATGCCATCGATAGACATTCTGCCTTTATTCGGTTTTATACTAAAGTTGTTTTGTTTGCATGGTCAGTCAGCCACTGAGGTAAAATCTCCTAGATGTGATCCATGCTGAAAAGTAAGCTACCTAGATAACGCACATATGACATATATGTGCAGGAAATATAGATGTGAGAAAATTAAGGAAAAGAAGGATGATGCATCAGGAGGCATATAGCAGATCGCCAAAGCCAGAAAATATGTTAAATGTTGGCTTTGCTAAACATGACTCTATTGGCTGAATCACATAATCCTAACAAAAGTTGCCGACATAGTGCACCTGTGCATGAAAAACACAGGAAATTATTTCAGGATAAGGAGGAAAGGGATACATAGGGGGCATATCATATCAGATCAACAAAGCTATTTCCATCAAAAAAAAAAAGAAAGATCAACAAAGCTATAAAATGTGTCGAATGCTGGATTGACTGCACTAGAAATATTTGTTTACTTAAACACCGTGGGAGCGGCGAAAATTTAGAACACCGCGTCAGCCGATTAGTCTTACTGTTGATTTCTTGCATGTAAACATAAAACGTCGAGAGTAGTGTAGTGTATTGAGATTAGTCTTACATGTTGATTTTGAATGTGCAGGTTGAATTCAGCATATTATCCTGTTTGAATCATATATAGCTCCTTTCGGGCTAACCTTCTGCATGAAGCGAGTGCAAAATAAAGTGTTCTATGCACATGTGCGCACCCCTCCGCACTAAGACACCTAAAAATGAACTAACCTACATCAAATAAAAAAACAAAGAGCATACGAGATGGCATACCAAAACATATATCAGGGATTAAATCCTAATACCCACGAATATTATTCATACGTAAGTAGTCTTTCAAAAGAATTTAATGAGATTAGAGATATGCAGTTGGTTTCACTCTCTTTGAGCGTGTGTTCAGGAACTACTCTAGCAGCCTTGAAATGCAACGGATTTTGCTCAAATTATATTTGGGATTTTGGTTCAAAATTTAAGGTAGAGGCAATTGTGTCATCCAACCAACCAAAGTGGAGTTTGTTTGGATGGGCCGGCCCAATCCAAGTGGAAAGAAGTAGCCCAGCCCGGCACGGAGGCAAGCCCAGAAGAGGAAAAAGGGACTCAAAAAGAAATCCAAAATCCTTTCCTTTGCACGCCGTTCCACGAGATGGCGGCGGCGGCGGCCGGCGGCGGGAGGGGCGGCGGGGCGCAGGCCGCGGTGGCGGAGCAGATAGCGCAGGCGGTGCAGTCCACGTCCAACCTCCTCCAGCTCATGGAGGAGTCCTCCCCGGCCCAGGTATCCTCCCCCCTCCATCTCGCAATCCCCTTCTCTGCTTCCTTTCCTTCTCTCCCCTCTCCAGCGGAGGAGAGGCGCGGCGCGCTTGGCGGCTGTACGGGCGCCGGTGGCGGCGAGGGACCAGCGAGCAGAGCATAGGGAAAGAAGGGGCAAGTTCCCAACCCTGATTTTCTCAACAGGGAACAAGGATAATTCTTCGCCTCTTTCTTGTTTCCTGACCTGTGAGCTTTGGCCAAGTCTTTTGTGTTCGGCAAGTTGAGAAATCGTGGATGGATATATTCCTAGTTTGGTAGTGCACATTTATGGATTGCAATTTAGCAAAAGTGAAGTTCTGGAAATCTAGCTCAGATCATTTCTCAGTTGATGCTCAATATACTATATTGTAGTGAAATTGCATTTAAATGGAACATTAAAGTTGTAATGCCATGTTATGTCACAACACTGCTCTTTACTACAATGAAACAAAGTTTGGCCTTTAACAAACCTTGTTGATGTCTAGTTGGGAGTTCTGTTCTTGCTTGAGCAGTGGTCCTCTTGTTTCTTTTTTATCCTGGCCTCTTGTAAAGATTGGATTTCTTGCTGAATTGCTTAAACTATGCATCGATTTATTAGCTACAAATGAGATAAACAATCAGATGCACCTTGCACGCTATGTCAGAATTTCAAGTGGGTCTATTTAGTGTCACATACAAAATAAATTGAATTTTTCCCAGCCAAAACGGCTTATTAGGGAATAAAAATGAATTTGTAGGTAAAACTTTTATATATATGTTCTTGGTGACTTAAAAGCCAATGCTGAAAAAGAAACTATGTTGAAAATATCTCAAAATCAATCTCAAAATTAAGTTTGAAAATTTAAAATTTGGCTTTTTCTTTGGCTGATTAGGCCATCCGATGAGAGCCGTAATCTCAGAGTGTTCAGACAACAGTGTTTTTTATTATATATTTTTTTGCTGTATAGTTCACTCCGGTACTCTGTCACACCTCATTTTACTTCCTCCTCTGCCACTGAACTACTTAAATGCTAATTCACTAAATTAAGGAGTGTTGGTATATCTTTCTGTGATTGGCATAAATATCTTATGTACTGCTGCGAGCCTGTGATATACCTTAAACATTGTACTTTCATGGTTACTCCGTTTTGTTGGTGTGTTTCCAGTTATCAGTTTCTGAATCCGATTAATCACATTAGCTAATAGAGGATCTTTTTTTCACAGGCTCACCTGGCAAAACTTCCCAAGAAACTCTTGGCAAAAGCATCTCTTGCAAAGAACACAGGGCAGGTAAGGAATACGATGAATTACTTCCTGCTGTGAATTCGCTATTAAAATTTGTGTCTTCTCTAGGTCCTGCATCAACTACCTAGTGTAATTTCTTCCTTGGATGCTTATATGGACGCTAGTTTGCAAAGGTGATCTTCTCCAATTCATTTCCTTTGCATACACATTCTGTTCATTAGACAATTCTAAGAATTTATTTTACTGATTATTTGTTATGTAGCCCATAGATTTAAACTGACAGCGTGGTTGAAGTTTTCTCCCTGTATATCATCTTTGCTAACCTCCCATTTCAAACTCTGCAGTGCTTCTCAAATTAAGACTGTTACACAGCTCTTGTCAAACATGGAGAATAACCAGCTGAGATCTATCCTGCCTGCCTCTCGGTTAGAGAAAGCACAGAAGAAAACTGAGACTGGAGAACTCAGGATTGAATGATAAGTTTACCAATAGGATATAATAACCAATCTGTGTTCTCCTAGTAAAGGTATATTTCTTTCGACTACCTCTTTTTTTGTTTGCAGATACTCCATCCGTTTCAGGTTATAAGACGTTTTGACTTTGGTCAAAGTCAAACTATTTCATGTTTGACTAAGTTTATACACAAATATAGTAATATTTATAATACTAAATTAGTTTCATCAAATCAATAATTGAATATATTTCATAATAAATTTGTCTTGGATTGAAAATGTTATTACTTTTTTTCTACAAACTTGGTCAAACTTAAATCAGTTTGATTTTGACCAAAGTCAAAATGTCTTATAACCTGAAACGAAGGAAGTAGTAAACTACAGTGTAGCTTAATTTTGTTAGTAAATGCTTCCTCAAAAAGGTAATTTGATTGAAGAGGAACACACTGGGAATTTTCATCTATAGCATCATGTATTGCTAACTACAATCATCTACAGACTGCAGCAATGATGATTATGTGTCTGTTTGCAAAGATTATTTATTGTCTACCATGGCAAGCAAAACAGGAATTATTTTGAAATAGTATGTGTCAGTCTAATAGTTAAGAAAGACCAACGTTTTTCATGGCTCTTGTGGAACTCATAAGTCATAACTAGGGATGCAATCCTGCTACCTGCATAAAAGCCCACTTAATAGTTTTTTATTTCCTACTTGCTAGTACAAAATTTGGATGAAAAAAAATAACTAGAATTGTAATAAGGAGGTCAAAAAGGCAATGTCCTAGTTTTCAATCCCAAGGAATTTGAGTAATTTTGGACAAAAATGTGCTTTTATTTTTTCGTTTTTTACAATGACTGCCATTTCCATAGGTACCTTTGCCATCTTCTACTGACGAACAGGAAAGACTGAAGCCTTACAAATGGTTCAGGTGTTGGCTCTGCTCATGGCAAGTGGACTTGCTCCGTTGCTCATAACCGGTGTTTGAAGACCTTGCTTGATTTGGATGGCTGCGTTTCTATTATGTTGGCTAATATATTTCTGGATGGCTTGAGCACATCAAATATGTTGTTCCATCTGGCTCTGTAATCCCCCTACCCTAGTGCTGGCTGCAAATTCAGTCCATTTTTGTTGTTTTCAGCACAAATATATATAGAAAGGAACCGAAAACAAGATTCAACACTCGTGTAACCTTTGGTTGTGTCCACTTATGAATTTGTGGATATAGAGACTGAATTTCTGTCCATTATCTTTCTTTTTTTAAAAAAATGATTCAACAAAGCTCTGGTTTTGACAAGGACAAAACTGTGCAAAGTAATGATCGAGGAGGTGAACTCATTAGTCACCTGAGATTTTCACCGAGCAAAGGCTTGGAGATGTTTTCAAGCGTAATCGGGGGAGTTCGTTTGTATCCGGAATCCTGGAAACGCCTTTTCGCACATATCAATCAATTCTTCTCAAGCCGGGTTGTTGATTGGACCACGTGGCGTGACAACGCGTGAGAAAAATAATTGGGAATTAGTGAGGATAAAAATTTGCTAGGCTATGTAAAAGAAAATAAATAAAGAAAAGTATCTAGATATATGAATTGTGATGTGGGCTAGAAAGATAAAAGGAAACAGAAAGGATCTAGATAGACCCTGATGTGTGTGAAGTTAATTAAAAATCGAGATCAACGGAGTTTCAGCTTTTAGTATCCATAGTTTATAAAATATAGTTACTTCAAAATTAATCTTCCCAAATCATAAATCCAAAGTAAGTGACGTTTGTACACTTCCCAAATCAATCATAAATCCAATTTGCACATAAAATCAAATCTATAATTGATTATTGATTTTTCTGTAAGAATAAGTAACGGACATGCTCAAACATATTTTCTTAATACAATCTTCATTCGTTTGACATTGATTGAAACAAAGTAAAGGATTTTTCAGAAATTGGATTAAGGCTGACAAAATATCTTCAAGATTTTTTTTCAAAAAGGATCATAGCAAGGATTATACTAGCAAGGAATGCCAGCAGGCGTGCCGATTTTCTAGTATAATTCAAAAGCAGAGAGGGACATTTTTGCGGTCGAATGATAAAATGTTTTATACATGTATGAGAGTTTATCATGGAGCAGTCCAAAACATGAAATTCTCACAGTGGGGCCTTATTGGGCCCAAGATTTCTGGGCCCATCGTTCTTGGGCTTGGGCTCTCGATTTCCGACACACGCGCTTCCGCTCCAGCGTCGTTAGGGTTTTTCTCCCAGCCGCCGCCTCCTCTATAAATCCCACGGCCACCACAACGGCAACCCTCTCACCCGCAGCCGCCGCTTTTGTTTGCATCAGCGTCCTCTCCCTCGAATTCTAGATTTGATTGTTCTTCAATGTGTTGTTTGTTTCACCTCTCGTGTTCTTGATCGTTCTTCATCAGCCTGTTACTGTTTTTTCCTTGATTTTTGGATCGGTCAATCTGTTGATGCTGCTTGCGAGATTGGTTTGGTTTGGTTTGGTGGTAATTATGGTGGTGAGGTTGGGGGGCGGGCTGTGAGGAAAGAAAACCTTGTGCCGGAGGCGGATGCGCCGGTGTCGGTAACACAAAATCCTCTAAGAAGTTCTGAGCTCCTCCTCCTTTCTCTATCGTACGTTCTTGCGCAAGATCTCGATCCAGATTGATTTGGTTTTTATGTTTTCTTGGCCTTTTTTTTGTTTGCTTTTCTCTGCGACGTGGCTTAATATTGGATTGGATTGGGTGTTGCGAGGTGATGATGAATGTATGAATGTCTGTCAATCCCCTGATGTCACAAAGTGATGACTCCTCATACATCCCGACAGGCTCTGATCGCAAAACCCTAATCCACCAGCCATTCTTTACTTGCCTTTGTCTGAAATTTGTTCGATTCTCATTTTAGGCACTTTTTCGTGTTTGTCTTAATTTGTTCGATTTTGGAATTTTCTAAAAGTAAGTTGATTTTTCTCGAGCAGATTTTAAACACCATATCAAACAAATTATATAATTTAACAAGATACCCGAGACCAGAGAATACAGGATTTAATCTCACATTAAGAAGCTCAAGTAAATGAAAAACACAAATCAATATATAATCGTTACGTATTTGAAGCGGATTGGCATGAAAGGAACTAATCAGAGGTCTGGTTGGTCTGACGATATCAGATTCAGGTGCTCACAGAAGCCAGTGACCCAGTGTTGAATGAACCAAACCAAGAACTCAAGAAGGCAAGAATAGCCGTATCGAGGCATTCCTTTTGTACTTCTGCAAAATTCTGAATGATTCGACCACAGTTTCCTAGTTCATCCGTTTCACAATGTAAATTCATTCAAGCACTTTTTATATTCATATTGATGTTAATGAATGTAGATAAATATATATATATATATATATATGTCTAGATTAGAGTATTTGGTTTTGGAGTAAAATAGATCACAATTCTGTAAAATTCCGTGAAATAAGCTCGAATAATGGCCCAAAAAATGACGAGCGGTTTGGGAAGCAAGCGATGAAATTCAAAAAACGGTTTGGGGAGCACCCGAGTTTTAGAGCGGTGAAATTCAACCGAAATTGGTACTTCATCTGTACTATAATTTGACCACTCGTCTTATTAAAAAAAAATGTGCAAATATAAAAAACGAAAAGTTATTAAAAAAATTTGTGCAAATATAAAAAACGAAAAGTTATTAAAAAAATTTGTGCAAATATAAAAAACGAAAAGTTATACTTAAAGTACAAGTCACAAATAAAATAAATAATAATTCTAATTTTTTTTAATAAGATGAATAATTAAAAAAAATTAAAATCTATTATATTATGAGATGGAGGAAGTAATCAATAAATCCGTAGTATTGTTTATTTTTTTGGGTGCCGAGCAATTAAACTGTGTGAACTGTGGTATGACGAGATCATTGTTACAAACCTCGGTTATCACGCTTTTTGTTTCAATTTCAAATGAAATTGGCAAAAGAATATACTGGAATGCTTTAAAACAGGAAATAGCTAAGGCAGAATTTATGTACTAATATAGAAAACTCTTGATAAAATGGTTTGAACTTTGTATAATATACGAAAGGATATCTCCCTTTCTACTCTGCACATAAAACCGATGTAAATAACAAGAGGGACTTTGTTTTGAATTTGAACGGAAAAAAAGGAATTCTATCCATTTTTATTTCCCATTTTTCTATTTAGTTGTTTCTTAATAAAATAAAAATAAAGGCATATAAAAATAAAAAAATTGCTTTTGGAAAGTGTCGAGGAGTGATCCTCTCTAGCGGGTGGTCGTGAGACCCCCCCTGTGAGTTCGGCCAGGGGATATGGTGCGATGATCAAGAGCGTACTTCCGTTTGCCATCTAACTACTAGATCGCTCACGAGTCTGTGTAGAAGACAAGGGATTATATATGTTCGGGCCGCTGGGAAGCGTAACACCCTACTCATGTATGTGGGATTATGATGAGTTCTTACGAGAGGTCTTGAGCTCCTGGGGAAACCTAGCTGTTCTTCCTCTAGAGCTCAAGCTATTGAGAGTCGTCCCTTTTCTCGGTGGGCGAGGTCCTCCTTTTATAGTTCAAGGGGATACCACATGCCCCGTTTTATACCTACCCCTCCATGGGACGGGGACCCACCTAGCTTGGATCAGACCGCCATTCGTGCCTTCAACCAGAAGCAAGGTGGTTGTGCGTCTCTAGGTGGGGCCCAGCGCCGTCCTCCACCTGACACAGGGGACGCCCCTGTCATTCCCTCTTAAATGTATGGAGACTTTGGCAGGCTCATCATGTGCGGGGGACGCTTCTGGCAGTATGCCGATGGGACGGGGCATACCCGTCCTCATTCCGCCTGACACAGGGCGGGACGTGGGGTACTGCCACCCGTCCAATCGCTTGTGACCGGTCACAGACTGGTCAAGCCCAATTGACGTGGGTCAATCGGGCGGCGCCGCACGCCCGCCCACGCCGCATTAAATGCGGCGTCGGACGGTTGGGGCGCCGCGCATTGAAAGCGCTGAGGGGCACTCCTGCGCCACCCACTCTCCCCGCCATGTGGTGGCCCGGCGGGGGCCTCGGGACAGTGCGCACTAAGGGCCGAGGGGCGTGACATGGCACCCCGAGGCCCCCTGGCCACCTCAGCGTTACCTGATCGCCCCCCGAGGGGGCGGGGGAAGGCCAGGCCGCGCGGCCACGTGGCCAGATGGGAAGGTGACTCCCCTCTACTGTGCGTACCCCCGGTCCCATATCACCGACAGAAAGCGACAATATCCCATGGTTAATTGGCTTTTATCAAGTTGGTATTTATTCATAGAACATCGATAAAACATGCTATGTTGAATTAAATTTAACCCTAAGAAAAGAAATAAAATTTAAACTAAAATTTCAGTGTTTACCAAAATTTCATTTAGTATTTTTGTATTGAGATATAACCACTAGGTTAATCGTGGTTATTAAAAAACCAATTGACAATTTTTGGTGGACAAAAAGGTTTATAAACCTTTGGAAGAATAGAAAACTATGCTTACAATCACGTCCATCATCAAGTATTTAGATGTTTATCAAGTGAGAGATTTGATAATATATCACTCATCAAAACTATTTGATATCTTATTACACTTTTATTCACATAAATAGTACCACATGTGGTATGAGTATTAATAAGGGAAAATTCCAAAAACCATTCCAGAAGTTACTTGAAGTTTGACATTTCATCCTATAAGTTATTTTGTTGCAAATATTCACACTCCTATTTGGTTTTGTTACAAAAACCACTCCAGTGTGCACATGCTTAACTGAATCAGTATGTTTTTCTTTTCATAAAGCGTGAGACATCAATATGGTAATACCAAAGTTAAATACTTCTATGGAAATTCCACAAATAGAATTGCTGATGAGAGCTTAAACATTATTGCACTAAGTTTCATTCATTGTGTGCAGAAAAAGAATTAAATGAAACACGGAGAATAAATCTAATACAAGTACTTGAATAAGATTAATTCAGCCAGCTTAGCCTGTGGAGCTCTACTTCAGCGATAACATATTGATTCGGTTAAGTACATGCCCATTAGGGTTGTATAATTTTCCCATCAATTAAAGTAAACTGACAACGAAAAAGTGTCATTCTCCTCACACGCCGGTCTCCATGAGCGAGTTTTCTGGGCCCGAACGTGGCCCGGCCCAGCCCGGCCCACCCCTAACCCGCACATGTAACCGAGCTCGTATTCGCGTCGTCGCCCTTTCTCCTCTCTTCTCCTCTCCTCCCCCGTCTCCGCCGCTCGCGATCCCCACCGCCGCCGGCGACGCGCGCGCGGCGGTCGCCGGGCGTTGTGTCCGCGCCGCCCCGACGAGCCGGCTCGTCGACGGAGACGGTGCGGCTGTTCCTCCGTACTCGTCGCCCGCCACCTCATCCCGCGGCGCCGTCTCCCTCGATCCCCTCGCCAAAGCGCGCAAGGAAGGAAGGCTCTCCCCCGCCACCGACGCCGTCCGTCCAGATCTAAGGTATGGATCGAACTGTTGTTCCCTCCTCCTCCTCCTCTGATGTAGGTGTGGTTTTCCGTGGGTTAGGTATTCAGTGTGGAGTGGATGTTTGGAGCGGGGTTTTGGGAATTTGGATTGTGGATGGAGAGGATTCGTTGTCATGTCTTAATTAATTGTTTGTAGCCAGTAACCTAATAATGTTCTACTCGGTGATAATGCATGCTAAGAATCGAGTAGCTTGATCAGTTCTGAAAGATCACTGCAACTACAACTTGCTTGCATGTTAGGATCAGTAAACGTGTTTCTTTCTTTCAAAGTCTTTGCGCTGGTACTAGAGGACTGAGGGGAGCTTCTGAGAGCTCATGTGACAATATTTTTGGTGTCTTTTTTTTTTCTTCAAGGAGACATGAATTGCTGTTTACTTAAGCATTGTTGTCTGAGAGTACTTGATGTGAGTGCTATCAAGAGGATCAATGTGTTGTAGAGAACACCATACACAGATATGCCATTGGCACTTACAACTTTAACTTTTGAAATCTTTCATCTTAAAAATGAAAATATGCCCTGCTTGGATGTATCTTAGCACGTCAGTAGGGTCAGTTAGATATTTCCTTCTTAGAACCTATGTTTTGATGATACAAAGCTATAGGCTAGTGATTTCATTTATTCCGAAGTGTATTCCTCAAGAATAGTGAGTTACGAGCCAAACAGATGTAATGCTTGAATCAAAATCATGTAGTCTCTCTGCACACAGTACAATTTTCTTTATGCACTTCAGACTATTATTAAGGTAGCATGCTTTTTAGAAGAAAAAAAAAAGCATACTTTAGTGTCATGTGCTCGCTGTCTGCAACAAGTAGAATATACACAAATTTTGCCTAATTTGTTTGTAGAATGTCAGGATGTAAGGCTGTAATAAGCAGAAACATTATAATTATATAAACTTTGTCTGGATCAGTATAAACTGTATGATTTATTCACTTTCGCGGTTCTTAAAGCATGTAATATGGTCTTTTTTTTCAGTCCTTTGTGGCTTTTTTGAAATCTAGCTATTATAATTACTTAAAAATTCAGGAATTTGATGTATGCTTCTGTTTCTTTAGTGCCTGTGCAATTTACCGGATATAAATGCAGCGACCTTGTATTTTGACTCTGAAATTATTTACAATTTAAAATTTAATTGGCCCTGCTGTTCCATTTACCCAACCTGGAAAAGCATGCCTTATCTTGGCATTTGGCTATTGACTTGCCCATTAATAGAAAAAGATAGTAATTATTTGACATTTGTTTCATTTCTCCATTCATAGAATCAAAATTATTATGTACTGGGATTACCCTGTCATTCTTTTATGACATACAGTATGAATTTGTATACTACCTCCGTCCCAAAATACTTGTCGCTTTGAGATTTTGTTTGCAACGTTTGATCATTCGTCTTATTCAAAAAAATATAAAATTATTATTTATTTTGTTTGTGACTTGCTTTATTATCAAAGTATTTTAAGTATGACTTATCATTTTTTCATATTTGCACTAATTTTTCAAATAAGACGAATGGTCAAGCGTTGCAAGCAAAAAGTCAAAGCGACCACTAATTTGGGACAGGGTAGTATGTATTAATTTTGTTTATACTTTTCATATGCCAGACTGCAATAGTTTCAGATAATGTTCACTGTTATTTTTCCAGATGCTGCCTTATTTTTATCCATTTTATTACTTTTTTGGTTAAATGGTATGCATATATGTCACATATGTTTTGGTTTGATGGGTCCAAATCTGCAGTGGTGGCAATACTCTAAGCCGCTACTTTCATCTTAATACTCTTTTTATTTCAGGAAAAATAACTTTCAGATTATTTCTTGTTCCTACCTTTTTTTTAGGTTACTTATATTTTAGGGTGATTCCTGAAAGCATTTAATAAAGTAAATTACTATGTACTTTAGTCCTAGTAATGATACTGTGAATTCAATCCATTGGGGAAAAATATCCTATGGGAGCCTTGGATTGATGGATTGCTCCAAAGGAATTCCGACTTCCCTGCAATGTAATGGTAAAACTGGGAAAGGATTGGAGTTATGTAGTTATTAAAATGCTTTAGCAGTGCTCTGGATCATGAATCTCTTGTGACTGGTAGAAAAACACCTTTACTGCAGTGCTTCTAGAAATGTGAAGTATGCATGATTCACTAAAATTCACTATTTTTATGTTTTGCATCCTGAAACTCTTGAAATTTTAGTCATTGTAATTACTTAAAAAACTGGCCTATATATTTTTTTATATTTGTTTTTGGTTGTCTAATTTCCAAAGGAAACTTGTTCATGAGCCTGAGTTTGGTTTACATTGCAGGTTGGGCATGATCACTCAACCTTAGAGATTTTTGTCATTCCATTTGTGTAACCTGCCACAACACAACTGACCTTGGCACTATTTTGTTGTTTTCCCATGAGTGCTTAATGGATTGGATAGTTAGAGTTACCGAATATTGCATGTAAACGTAGCACTTGCTGACTTATGAGTGGCTTCAAGTCTCATTGAGGCTTAGTGCATTACATTGCTTCACATTTGGTAGGGTGTATGTAAGTTTATTTCGCTATATTGATCTTAGCTACTGATTTACACAGGTTACATATTATCTCGATTATTTTCTTGACTTGATAGCTATTTTGGCAGTACTATCTGATGAATGAAACCTCCTATACCAAATAAGGGTTTTCATGTTCTATGGCCTCCACCATTTTTAATTATCTTCTGCATTCTCATACTTCATTAAAATTGCATTTACATATCCATAACCATTTATTCTTTGTTTCCAGGTTTTGACACAATGGGGTTATTCAAGGGCAGCTTCACATTCATGGTGGGAATGGGATGTGGTGTCTATGTAGCTCAGAACTACAATGTTCCAAACATCAAGAAGCTTTTCAACACATATGTTTTCATGGCAAAGCACATCGAGGAAACGTATCGGAAGCCAAAGAAAGATGATGACTGATGATTTCCACAGATTTTCATTTTGGTGCCCCTGGAAATCAACGTGTAACTAACATGATACAGAAATATGATGTTCATGAATGGGGAAGTCGGTAAAGTCGGTTCTGATCGTCGGCAATTGAACTATGGTGGCTTAAATGCTTTACCGGTGAACCACTGTTTACTACTTTACTATACTGCTTTTAGGGGGGTTGTTAGAGAGACAGAAGTTGCTGTCCAGATGACAATGACTCCCTTTTATCTTTTGTCGGTGCTACGAAAATGCACTTGACCTTTTTTTGGCTGTTGAAATGTGTAGGACTGGAAATCCACCACTATTATCATGTCCATCTGTATATGTCATGCTTAGATTTTCAAGAGGCCACTGTTTACTATACTGTTTTTAGGGGGTTGTCAGAGAAGCAGAAGTTACTGTCTACTCGATGACAATGACTTCCTTTTGTGGTTTGTCGGTGCTAGGAAAATTTACTAGACCTTTTTTTTGGCTGTTGAGATGTGTAGGCCTGGAAAATTTACTACTGTTATCATGTCCATGTGTATATGTCATGCTGAGACTAACTTTTCAAGAGGTCACTGTTGTTTGTGCATGCAATTATGGGGGTGATTAATCGGAATGACATGCTGAAACTGTTTTTCGTGTGATTGTCAAGCTTAGGTGGATATGCGTGATCAACGTTGCCTAACTAGTGATTTCAGTATTTCACATGTGCCTAATGATATTAACACCTTGTAAGCATATTTAACTGAAAATAGACCTTTATCATCATAGTGCCACGCCCAAAAACCATCAAGATCATCTCGCAGTGGTATGGCTAGTATGATTGATGCATCATCTTGATTAAAAAGTTTGCTAGACCAGCTGTGAGTCCCATTGCAAAGTTATACGATCAATCAACTCATTAACAGTATTCAACAGAATACTGACTTACCGAGAGCTAACTCTCCTTCTTGTGCCCCTAGGGATACAAGGATCAGTCCAGACGTTTATATTTCATATTTGTGCCTTTACCTACTCGATATATATGATGCCTTCTTTAGTAGCTCCAAATAACCATTCAATCTGTACTGTGTTTCTCAAAAAAAAAAAAAAAACCATTCAATCTGCTGCGCCATGTACAAGGACATATGCCTTCCATTGCTTCAGCATTCAACACAGTACCTTCAGGGAAATTCTTTTCATGAAGAATTCTTGCATAAAGAGAATTTGGTTCTTGTAGTGTATGCTTGGCTAGCATAGCAGATTGAAAACAGGAGATCATGAAACCCGATGCATTTTCTTTTTTCTTTTATCTTGCTGGCACCACCAATATCAACTAATCACTGCACTCACTTCATCACAAAAACTTTTTGTAAGGTCAAAACATGACATAGGTTAGGATCGTTCGAGCTACTGCCTTCACAAGTACCCCCTCCATCTACTTTTGATAGGCATATTATCAAATTTGAAAAATTTACTTTTGATAGGCATATTTCAATTCAACCACCTATGCTCTTAATGACTTTCTCGGATTTAATGCGTGACTCTCCATTCTTCCACAAAAGATTGGCTACATGGACATCGAGAAATGTAAATATTAATGAATCTCGCTTGTTTACGAGGAATAACTAGTAGCATGTTTAAATGAATGATAAGTAGAATTACTTATCCTTAATCATTGTGCCAAGATGAAATATAACTATCAAAAGTATATGGAGGGAGTATCTCCTTGCTTGCCTTTGGGAACATTTTTTTTCTTTCCACCCTTGAATTATTTTCCAGATTTTATCTTGGCAACATGCTAGCAGCTGGCTCATAATTTTTTTTAACTAAACGGATGACTTACACATACACAGACGCCACTGCACGGTTTGAGTTTGTAGACGAGTATTGCTATAGTGGTGTCCCCATTAATAACAAAACCAAAAAAAAAAAGTGCACTAAGATTGACACACAGAACATGATAGGTAAGCCGCATAATTTTTAGCCACTTTTGAATAAGCAAACTAGAAGCTGTCATTGGAATAAAAAGAAAACATAGTAGAATAGCAAACCCCTCATTGCTAAACTAGCTACTCTGAGTACATGGACATTATTAATAAACCTTATAAAGTTCAAAGTTCTATAACTTTCTTCTAGATCACTGCCACATATGATACTGCCACATATGATAGAATACTAGAAAGATTCATTATCTCCACCTCTATATGGCACCAAGAAATCATCAATTTCCTACATATTGGAAGGAGAGTACTTTCCATGGTTGTGATGTTGACTTGGGAATACCCCATACCAGCACATGGTACTTGCCAACCTTCTTATACTGATCTGCAATTTTCAGCACTAGAAAATAGTTGTTGCCGCTGCCTGCAGGCTGCATACTCACTGAAAGCACATCCACAAGTGTGATATCCTTGTTCTTCACCAGTTTGTGCATTAGCACTGCAAATCGCCCAATTTGCCAATACAACTCATCACGGTAGTTAGGGATTTGCACGTATCCTGGTGGCGTCCAAGATGGGAGAGTGAACGGTGGTGGTGACCAGCCCCAAGGTTGATAGGGTGGGGGTGTTGATTTGGGACTAGGAGGTGGTGGTGGATGGCTATTGCCGGGATAAGTTGGTGGTGTCATAGGAGGACTAAACTGCTGTGGTGGTGTTGTCATAGGTGGAGGGCTTGATGGAGTTACACTTGGGGGACTAGATGAAGGTGGTGATATGGTAGGTGGAGGGGTTGATGGAGGTGGTGAGGTGCTAGGTGGAGGACTCGATGAAGGTGGCGGCGGTGGCTGGCTGTATGATGGAGCTACCGTCGGGGGACTAGACGGAGGTGGTGATGTGGTGGGTGGAGGGCTCGATGGAGGTGGTGAGGTACTCGGTGGAGGACTTGATGAAGCTGGCGGTGGTGGCTGGCTATACGATGGAGCTACTGTTGGGGGACTTGTTGGAGGTGGTGATGTGGTGGGTGGAGGGCTCGACGGAGGTGGTGGCTGGTTGTATGATGGAGCTACCGTTGGGGCACTAGACGAAGGTGGTGGTGTGGTGGGTGGAGGGCTCGATGGAGGTGGTGAGTTGCTAGGTGGAGGACTCGAAGAAGGTGGCGGTGGTGGCTGCCTGTATGATGGAGCTACTGTTGGGGGACTTGATGGAGGTGGTGATGTAGTGGGTGGAGGGCTCGACGGAGGTGGTGGCTGGTTGTATGATGGAGCTACCGTCGGGGGACTAGACGAAGGTGGTGGTGTGGTGGGTGGAGGGCTCGATGGAGGCGGTGATGTGCTCGGTGGAGGACTCGACGAAGGTGGTGGTGGTGGTTGGTTGTATGATGGAGGTACTGTTGGGGGACTAGACGGAGGTGGTGGTGTGGTGGGTGGAGGGCTCGATGGAGGTGGTGAGGTGCTCGGAGGAGGACTCGATGAAGGTGGCGGTGGTGGCTGGCTGTACGACGGAGCTACTATCGAGGGACTTGATGGAGGTGGTGATGTGGTGGGTGGGGGGCTCAACGGAGGTGGTGGCTGGTTGTATGATGGAGCTACCGTCGGGGGACTAGACGAAGGTGGTGGTGTGGTGGATGGAGGGCTCGATGGAGGCGGTGAGGTGCTCGATGGAGGACTCGACGAAGGTGGCGGTGGTGGTTGGTTGTATGATGGAGGTACTGTTGGGGGACTAGACGGAGGTGGTGATGTGGTGGGTGGAGGGCTCAACGGAGGTGGTGGTGTGGTGGGTGGAGGGCTCGATGGAGGTGGTGAGGTGCTCGGTGGAGGACTCGATGAAGGTGGCGGTGGTGGCTGGCTATACGATGGAGCTACCGTCGGGGGACTAGACGAAGGTGGTGGTGTGGTGGGTGGAGGGCTCGATGGAGGTGGTGAGGTGCTCGGTGGAGGACTCGACGAAGGTGGTGGTGGTAGCTGGTTGTATGATGGTGGTACTGTCGGGGGACTAGATGGAGGTGGTGATGTGGTGGGTGGAGGGTTTGACGGAGGCGGTGGCTGGTTATATGATGGAGCTACCGCCGGGGGACTAGATGAAGGTGGTGGTGTGGAGGGTGGAGGGCTCGATGGAGGCGGTAAGGTGCTCGGTGGAGGACTCGACGAAGGTGGCGGTGGTGGCTGGTTGTATGATGGAGGTACTGTCGGGGGACTAGACGGAGGTGGTGATGTGGTGGGTGGAGGGCTCGATGGAGGTGGTGAGGTGCTCGGTGGAGGACTCGATGAAGGTGGCGGTGGTGGCTGGCTGTACGATGGAGCTACTGTCGGGGGACTTGATGGAGGTGGTGATGTGGTGGGTGGAGGGCTCGACGGAGGTGGCGGCTGGTTATATGATGGAGCTACCGTCGGGGGACTAGATGAAGGTGGTTGTGTGGAGGGTGGAGGGCTCGATAGAGGCGGTGAGGTGCTCGGTGGAGGACTCGATGAAGGTGGCGGTGGCGGTTGGCTATACGATGGAGCTACTGTCGGGGGACTTGATGGAGGTGGTGATGTGGTGGGTGGAGGGGTCGACGGAGGTGGTGGCTGGTTATATGATGGAGCTACCGTCGGGGGAGTAGATGAAGGTGGTTGTGTGGAGGGTGGAGAGCTCGATAGAGGCGGTGAGGTGCTCGGTGGAGGATTCGATGAAGGTGGCGGTGGCGGTTGGCTATACGATGGAGCTACTGTCGGGGGACTTGTTGGAGGTGGTGATCTGGTGGGTGGAGGGCTCGATGGAGGTGGTGGCTGGTTGTATGATGGAGCTACCGTCGGGGGACTTGTCGAAGGTGGTGGTGTGGTGGGTGGAGGGCTCGATGGAGGTGGTAAGGTGCTCGGTGGAGGACTCGATGAAGGTGACGGTGGTGGCTGAACGGCTGATGATGGAGCGACTGTTGGGGGACTTGATGGAGGTGGTGATGTGGTGGGTGGAGGGCTCAACGGTGGTGGTGAGGAGCTAGGTGGTGGGCTAGATGAAGGTGGCGGCGGCGACTGGTTGTATGATGGAGGTACTGTTGGCGGGCTATATGGAGGTGGTGAGGCTGTAGATGGAGTGCTTGATGGAGGTGGTGACGTGATGGGTGGAGGGCTTGATGGAGGTGGTGGCGGCGACTGGTTGTATGATGGAGCAACTGTTGGGGGACTAGATGGAGGTGGTGAGGTTGTTGGTGGAGAGCTCGATGACGGTGATGGTGGTGGCTGGTTGTATGATGGGGCCTCCGTTGGCGGACTAGGCAACGGTGGCGACGGAGGTGGACTGTTATCTTGGTACGGTGGAGATGCATTAGGTGGACTAGACTCCGATGGTGATGGCGGTGGCGACATGGTTGGAGGAGACGATGATGGTGGCGGCTCGTAAGAGGGAGGTGCCGGCGAATCATTCGACGGTGAAGGTGACGGCTCTCCACCACCTTCGCAATCTTCATTCTTTCCCGGCCCTTTACCATCGCCATGGGGGTCCGGACCTTTCCCCGGCTTAGGACAATGCGGGTTCTTCACCGGCCCAACCCCATTGTTGCCCTGGTCACCCTTCCCCTCATTACCCTTGCCATCGGCTAGGGATACATGGACACTGAGGGCTACTACGAGGAGGATGGGGAGAAGCACTACGAGCGTTCTCATGGTGAGAGAACGCCTACCGTAGGCAGCTACCACAACACAGGAGGTGAGTAGTTAGCTCCTTGTGATGAAGCATCAGCGGCACAATGCCATGTATTTATACTAGTTAGTTTAGCAAGTAGCTAGAGCAGAAAACCTAGCTAGGATTCGCCTCGATCAGTAGCTCGATCCAGATCATGGGAGCTGTGTCCTGCATCTGTTAGATTAATCCAAGGTCAGCTCTTACCAGTTACTGCATTATATTATCACTGTACTAGATTACATGCTCATGTCAGTGATAATTTGAGTTTCACTGGTATTAATTTGCGTTGACATTGATCAGCTTCTGCTAAATGCACGGTTCTCCGCGCACGTACGCGCATGGAGAGCATCTTGTCAGAGGAGGCATTGAGCCTTCTGCTAATTTGGAGTTGACTCCATCCAGAAGTAAACCTTGAACAAGATCTATCGATCTATACCTGGATTAATTAATTCTTAATGCTGCTGCTGCTGCTGCTTAATTGTGATGCAGCTAAGTACCATCGATCGTCACTGCATGATCATGATTCGATCGAGAGGTGACCTAGCTAATCGCCATTTTCAGAAATTAAAATAGGAAGTGACAGAGAAAATTAAGCAATATGTAATCTAAGCTATGAGAGTTGAACGAGTGTTGTTATATTATCGAGGTATATATATGTAGGATTGTACAATTTCCTTTCATCATAATATAATCATTTAACAGCAATTTGTGAACCTGTAGTTTTAAGTGTGAATTATTGAAGAAGAAAGTAGTTCTGCTGCTGCCGCGGCAGTAGCTTAATTGTAACATGCAGCTGGCCAGTACTATATCATTGCATGATCACCATTAATTGTATGATCACACGATTCGATCGAGATGACCTAGTTAATTATTAATCGAAATTAATTAACATGGAAACGCCATTTTTCAGAAATAAAAAGGAAGTGACAGAGAAATTAAGCCTGTGCGAGATCTATCAGAAAGAAAAATGCAATAACCTTAATTAGCTGTGAGAGGCAGAGAGCGTGTGATATCGTAAAATAGCATGAATCATTGCACGGGAAACGAGAATGGCCGGCCCCCTTGAAGAGGTCAAGTCGCCTCCATGTGGATGGTGGCAAGAATCACTTGGGCTTTGTAGCCATTTCTGCAGCTGAAATTATTATTATTATCATTACTATTATTATTACAGGATCTACATAGCTAATCGAACTGACTTTGTCAATGCTGACACTCACATAACATAATAGAGAGAATGCTTACTTTGTAACCATGCAGAGAGAGAAATTTAATTGGCAAGAAATGGCAAACGAGTTCGATTTGTGAAACCAGCAGGTGTGTCGGCAACCCATGCTGGTTGGGGTTGGATCACATGCTCTCTCCTGAATCTCTGATTAACCAATGCAAAGAGAGGTAGATGTGTGCAGTAACAACCACACACCGGTCGGTCTGTGAAAAAAAATAAAGTCCTCTTTCACAGTGCAATTGAAGCGAGATAAACTTGGTTCACAACAATGCCATGCCTAACTAAGCTGGAGTTGTTCCCAAATGTAAGCACGAGGTAGCTGGTGTGCTGGTGGCAGTGTTGTTCCCAAAAAAAAGAGTAATAATATTTTTAATCAAAGATAAATATATTATGAAAATTTATTCAATTATAAATTTAATAAAACTATGCTGGTGTTGTAAGTATTACTACTTTTTTCTACAGAATTAGTCAAACTTAGAGTAGTTTGACTTTGACCAAAATCAAAACGTCTTGTAATTGAAACGGCAAACGGAGAGAGTAATATCAAATGAGCGTGAGCGTGTCAAAAAATAAAAAACGGGACGACAAGATTAAAACCACACACATCTAAGTATTTAACACTACACTAGCAAATGCACATATAGATCATGAGACTTGAACCACTACTCTAGATTATTATTTTTTTAATGTAATCCACTACTCAAGAATTGATCAGCCTGGAATGACAGAAAACAAGCTTGTCTAGAAGAATGACATGAAATATGGTTTAAGACGTAGGTGAACAAGGTAACATGGTCGAAATTATAAGCAAGTTCATGTTAGTAAACCAGGAACCAAAAATTGTTTCAAGACTAATGATAGAAAGCTTTTCAAGCGTTCATGAAATATAAAAGAGAGCCACATTGGCTCAAGACTAATGGTAGTAAGCTTCTCAAGTCTTCTTCCAGAGTACCAGTCAAAAAAGAGAACATTGGTTTAAGACTCAATTACAAGGCAAAGCAATCGAGCAGCTAAACATTGAAACTTGCCAAATGCAATTCATCCAACTATTGCTGCCTCTTCTACCAATTAGCAGCAGATTCCTTCCTACACGCCCATGCAGTTCATGAATTGCTGCTTTGCAGATTATGCAATTATTCCAATTATTTACTATAGATAACTTGACCTATAACCTGTTGCCACAGCGCATCTTTAGTTCCTAAAGAGATTCTGACATTCCAAATGGAAGTACCATATTAATGTTACGCTAACAAATATCTAACGAAGTTCAAAACAAACAATTCAATCAAATATAATCATGACAATTACGCTAGAGAATACTTGTTGCCTGCCCTAGCATCATTAACATCACCATATCTGGCGCAATAACATATCACAAATCGAACCTCTTCCAACAAACTTACCAAGCAACAGCTGAAAAAAAAAACCATGCTTTGAAAAATATTGAACTTGTCTGAAGAAAATCTTGAAACCAAACCTTTGTCACTTAATAGAACACTTCACATATCAGCATCCACCAGTTACTTTGTGAAATTAGATGATTCCATGAGGCTCTAAAAACATATTGCGGCCTAAGCTTAAGATGATATAACCTTCAACAAAACAATAAGACAAATATAAAGAAACGAGGTTTCACAACAGATTACTGGATTGTTCGGCGGCAAGGTAAGAATTTGACCTGAATTTTACAAGAAAAACAGTGCAACAGGAATACCACAAAATCCCCATGATCCAAGTGTGACCTAAACTAATTTTCCTTTTACAACAGTGTCCACTAGCAAGAGGTCTTCCTTACCAGTTCAGTTAAATATATCATACGATAAAATATATTGCATTGAAGTCAGAAGATGTAAGAGCTACACAGATACTGAGAAACTTGAGCTATATAAGTTCATTGACTATCTGCACCTAGCTTTGAGCAACATTACTGATTTGTTGAGGATCCAGATTTTCAAACATAACAAAAATGATACTACCTCTGTCCCATAATAATTGTATTTCTAGGATTTGAATTTGTCCCAAAATAATTGTCACAATAGAGTAATGGTCCCATTAATCACTTCTCATTCAAATTTCTTCCTATTTTACCCTCAACTATCCTTCCACTCTTACGTATACATCATTTAATAAGTGGCATTATAGTCTTTCTTCTCAAATCTTAATATATGCTAAACAACCTAGAAATACAATTTATATGGGCCGGAGGTAGTACAATTGTAGCTCCATCTTTTTGTAGCAGAATCTTTTCTTCTCAGATGACATGAATAGACTTCAAAGAAAATCATTTTCTAACACAGATTTACCAACTGGGTGGTTTCTTTGTCACATCTCCTCTATTGAGGACAACTTATTTCCACTTTAAAAAAAAGAAAAGAAAATGATGCAAAACAAAGGAACTGCAAAGGGGAAAAAAAACATAAATGGGACAAGTATAGGCAAGCTTAACTCAAACTGTAGTTCCTCATCACATATGCAGGATCATAAACCAAATAACAACTAGATCATGGTTCAGCTACTAGAGGTCTCAGGATCCAACTTAAGTATTTTCCATAATAGCACCACCTATTCAAGAGTCAAGACCTCACTAAGAACTTGTGTTCCTACTAGATACCCAGCAGAAGATGCAACTAGCTGCCAACCAAGTGCCATTCAACCAAGCTCTCATTTCTCTCCTGTGCCTCCCCCTCCTTCCTCAACTCTGTATACTCGAGGGTACCCTTTCCTAAATCCTAACCCCTGCCAACAAACTATTGCAACTAAATGATGCTGCGGTAGAGGCGAATGATTCCACTTACTGTCAAGCGCAACCAATCACACCAAATGGTTTGCTTAATAATAGTAGACAACAAGGGCATATGTCAAGATGGTGTGTTATACTTGGTTTTGTACAGTAAGTCAGTAACTAGATAAGAAAAAATACATTAAAATTGTATTACCTTGCATAACTGTATATGCAAACAATCTGATCACTAGAAAAATGAGATTAAATAAAATAAGATGTGCATTACTGCATTCCATGATATAAAATCACCCGAGCATTTTCCTTGAGTTAAAAGCCCACTTGCAAACTACCTTGCTAACTCAAAAAACGCATGCATGTAAACACATGCTCACAAGGAAACATGGCTACGCACTGACCACCCAACAATCATACATCACTGAGTGTTGGCATCTCAATATAATGAAATGCCCATCAATGTAATGATGATCGATAAGGGTGGGTTGGCACTATAAGGTAAAATGAGTGTCATAAACACTTGTAGTGCAGATCTCCAGAAGCTGAAGCAGTGACAGGTTCTAAGCATAGCAATATGTCAAAAGTACAGAAACAAACATATACACAATTCTTCTCTAATTAAGCATAACAGGACAGTACATGACAAGCGGCTACCAATCGATCGTTTACATACTTTGCAGAAATTTTGGTAGCAGATGTAAACTGTAAGACAGTTGATGGCACGGTAGAAGCATGTCTTATGCAGCAAAAAGAAGAGAAACAAACTATCTGCATAAACATGTTTTGCAGCTACCATTAGTCTGTCCCTATGAAAGTAAGAGAGCAGTACCAGACTTCATCTAGTATTCATTTAATCATCCTGTTTTGTGTCCCAGTCTTTCATCTTCTTACTTCCCTTTGGTTTGGCAATAGGAGCATTCATGCCTGCCATTTTTGCATTGTACTTTGCTCGCAAGGGCCCATTTGTAGCCCACCTGAAAATTCATCAAAAAGTAAATCAGGATCATGTTTCCTTGTTGATACAAAAAAGGAAACCATAGGAAATAACTCAAAAAGAAATGCATTGAGCTGTAGCAACCAACAAGATAAGAAAGGCCAAAACTTGATCCCGTTTATATATCAAAAGAAGCTCAAAATCTTATAACAGGGTAAGTGGTCTTCTCATTGGGAGTATCTAAACGGTGATCTTTCTCTTTAGCCAACCAATATTTAATTGTTTAATGTGAAAAAACAACTACTAAATAATTGCAGATAAGACAACTTTTTCTTAAAAGCAATCTGAAGAAGATTTAACTAGCTGAATGATCAATATACCAGATTTAAAACAAAAATGTAGCAAGATAGGAGTACATACGGTGCATTCCAATCTGTAGTATCCTCATTAACAAGATGTGTCCACTTCGTTCTGCCACTCCGTCCGAAGTGCTTAACTTGCATAACCTTGGGCAAGATGCTTTTGTCCATCTTATCTTCACCAGTTGGTGCAGAGAAATCACGAGCATAAATATCATCTTTACCAGCTGATTGGATAACATCATCAGCACCTTCCTGGAAGAAGGCACCCTTGTGGTAATACTTCTGCATAAACTTCCACTTCTGCTTGTTCTCACGAAGTGGCTTAGGATTCTTTCGCTCCCATTCTCGCCGCTCCTCCTCGGTCATATTCCGCACCTTCTCAATCTCCTCCTTCTCCTTCAACCTTGCATCTCTTTCTTCCCTGTCCCTCTTGATTCTAGCTATTTCTCGATTCTTCCATGACTCATACTCCTCTGCTTCATTCAACTCATCATCTGTATCAACATCCTCAATGTTGGCCTCCTCATTGAGTGTCTTCTCAATATGCTCCTCCTTCCTGATTTCTTCCACCACAATCTGCCTAGTCTCGATTTTCCTAGCCTCCAGCCTCTTCTTGACTAGCTCCTCAAGCTGCCGCTCCTCCTCCTCCAGCCGCTCGCGCTCGGCAATGGTGTCCCGCTGTGACTTTGGTATGAAGACGGGCTTCACCATCGCCATGCCCGTCTGCTCATCCTCCGAGTCAGTCTCATACTCGGATTCCTCTGATTCCTCCTCCTCCTCTATGGGCTCCTCCTCCTGAGGAAGCAACTCCTCCTGCTCCCTCAAGAGCTGCCGCGCCCTTATCCTCCTCCTCCTCTCCTCCTGCGCCTCCTCATCGTCCTCCTCCTCCAGCTCAGCCTCCTGCCTCTCGTTCTCCTCATCCACGGTAGACACAATCTCGGCCTGCCGAATCCTCCGGTGATCCGCCCTCAGCTCCTCCTTGTTCTCCGCGCGGGTCTGCGCGAGGCGGCGGAGGCGGCGGTCATCCTTGAGGGGCGGCGCGTCGCCGTCCTCATCCTTGGGGAACGCCTTGTCGAGAGAAACCTTATTGGCAGTCCGGAGATCGGCGTCGTCTTCGCCGTCGTCGGCCCACTCGGGCGCCTTCCCGGGCCAGTACCGCTTCACCTTGGTCTGGCCAATCTTCCCGCGGAGCTTGTCGCGCACCGTGATGGCGGCGTCGCTAACCCCGGCCGCCACCGACATGGCTGCTTACCGCCCCCCCCCCCTCCTCACCCTCACCTATCCTCCTCCACCCCTGTCCGTTCCCTCGCTCAATCGAACACTGCAAACACGCAAAATCCAACATCAAGCCCCCATTTTCTATTGTCGAGAACTGCGATTAGTGCTATGATTAAGGCAATGATACGAAGCTCCCGGATCCAGAAGAGAAGCTAGGGTTAAAGCGAATTCGAGAAAAAGAAAAGGTAGGGTTAGGGTTAGCGCGAATCCGAGAGAAAGGTGTGGGGGTAGGAAGGTGTGTGTGTGTGTGTGAGAGAGAGAGAGGATGCGCGCACGGGCGCTCACCTGGCCGGCGAGGGTGCGGGCGGACGCCGGCGGCGGCGCAGGGCGGCGCGGCGCGGCGCGGCGGGCGAAGTCGCGGGGAGACGGGAGTGGAGGCCGAGGGGAAGGGGGCAGATCGACTATACTAGTAGGGTGGGCTTCCCGTAGGCCAAAGCGCGGCCCGGTCTGAATCGACAAAGGCCCACTACTGTAAACCGACTATGTCTCGAAAAGGAATACAATAAATCGTCATCAAATAAAATGGATTCAATTTGAGATTTAAATTTCTTAGTTTGTGTAATATAAGAGCATTCCTAGCCGATATGCTGTCACGTCCTCCATCCAGAAAATAGCGCACTCACGCGGGAAGAAAATCGCGCTCTAGAAGATAAGCCGTCGTTGACTTCAAGCTTATCGTGTTCGATGTCCGGGAGAGAGAACTCTCTTCATGCCATATTGCAACTTCTTGCGTTCGAACCGAGCTCCCACCTCGAGCCAAATTGATGGCTCGTCCATCTCCATTGTTGTTGACCGGATCTGGCATGTAGGGTGGAGTAGTGAAGGTGGAGACTAAAGGTAAGTGCACATCCTAATCTAGAGATGGGGCTGGCAAAGATAAGCCCACGCTGCACGCAGCTTCTCTGTCCTATCACCCATGCTGCCCACAGCTACTCTGTTCTCACCGCCCATGACTTCTCCGCCCTGCCACCCCACCGTTTGTAACTTCTCCCCACACGCATGTGTTTTTGTCCACTCTAACCCTCGCCGCCCTCCCTCTGTCGTCGACCCTCTTCTCAGTCCTCCTCCTTCGCCCTTCCTCTCATCCTTCCCTCCTCTGTAACTCTCTCCTCTTAGTAGGCATAGAAAAGTGAGGAAGATAAATATGCAAATATAGTACGATGTGATTTGGAGAATGTAATATGAATGATACGTTGGAATGAAGAGGGATATGAAGGATCAAATTTAGATGAGTTGCTGGCAATTTTCCCTTCTCCTTATGCTATTTGCAACTTTAGAACATATACTAGCTCATATTTCTTTGTCAATAATTTCAATTTTGATTACGATTCATTCGATAATAACCTTATTTGTTTGTGAACTTGGTGGATTACATGATTGGTCAGAAAAAGGAATTTCCTCTATAACATGATTCTTCATTTCTCGTTGGGCTTCTTTGGAACATTTTACATTAAGTAACTAGATGAAACCCAGCGCATTGTTGTGTGCACTTCTAGGTAACAATCAAACAAATAAGTGAGAATAATCTGCAATAACTATATTCAGTGGGTAATAAATAAGTTATAGTGGAGATTTATGGCAATCGTAGGGAATAATAACTGCACACAATATGAACGTTGAGATCAAGCATGGGAGAGATCTGACGGCTCTTCTTGCGGCTTCACGTATGTTGATCTTGTCGTTACAACTATATAGAAAGAAAAAAAAAATATATGTCATTGATCCTCTTTTCATGGGCTCTATATATTCTTCCTATGATTCCCAAGATACATAACTAATAGCATTTCTAAAACAAAATAAAATAATGCATCATATCTTACATCCTATTTACTACTTGGAACCAAAAACTTTGACATGCATTGAGACACATCATCTAGAAAATAGTAGCCTTTCGATCATACTCATGCTTTGATCTCAACCATTCATGTCGTGTGCATTTACAATTCACTTGGTATAGTTATTGCTATAGACCTCAATGTGTATTGAACCATTTCAACTAGAGAAGAAATAGCCATTGGATTCCTAGCATGTATATTACATAAGCATTCATGTTTCAAGTACAATTGGAATTCCATATCAACTTTGTAGAGCTTAAGATATTATCATTTTAGGTATTATGAGTACATAGGATTTACAAAAAAAAATTCTTTCAATTTTCTTCAAAGTGTTTACAAATTCCGTGCTACAATAATGTGCGGGATATCTACTAATATACTTATAAAGTTAATCCCCACTAAATGTAGTTAACAATAATTGTCTCTTCTCTTATGAAACCACATCACTTCAATTCTTTTTAGCCTTTGGATGATTGATCAAGGTGCAAATTACCTCTTTTCGCAAAAGCCACACCATAGATTTGAAGTAATTATTCTGTTTGGATATTGACCAAAGGTGCAAGATATGAAAACCACATGAATGAAATCATATAACAAGAAGGAATTATGCAACTCATATATAGTACTATTTTATCATGCAAATTTCCAGCAGCAATGCATGAGATTTTTGTCAACGTTTTAGATCATGACTATGGTACTTGCATGGTATGAGGATCATTGGTACCAGGGTATATGCGAGATTGAGGTAAAAGAGGTAGAGACAAGGATTTTTATACAGGTTCGGGCCCCTTCACATGAAGGTAATAACCCTACTCCGGTTGGCCGAAGCCGGTATTGCTCTTATTCATCAAAATCACATAAGTACAATATTTGGGATAACCTATCTAGTCGTCGTCGACTTGGTGACATGGAACACCAACACGTAGTCAACGACAGGGTAGTCTTCCTCCTTGAATATGTACTCGGCGAGATCAGAGATAGCACTAGATCCCTCTTGTCGACCTTTGATGGCACCAAATTGGGTCTGTCTAGGCTGATCTGATATCGATGTCTGGCGGCGTGTATTGGTGTCTATTCTGACTGAGCTTGTTGGTTTGTCTGGGGTTGTCCTCCCTTCCCTAGGGGGCCGGGTCTTGTATTTATACCCATAAATGTCCCCTTGTCCAAGTAGAACTAGGGAGATAAGTATGATACAATCCGAGTAGTCCTTGTAGTTTTCATGTAGAACTTTGCTTGCCCTTCCTTATCCGGAACTCCTTTTATATACAAGGTATGATTCCATATAGGACTTGGTATATGGTGGGCCCTATCGTGCTTAATCGACTACTATTAGGTATGTGCTATCCATAACCCTGATAAATTTCCTTTAGCAAAGAATGATAACTAGAACAATGAGAATTATAGTCGTCATCGTAAATATAGTGATTTGAACATAGGGCTAGGTATTTGGACAATAGTTTCACATTGAACGGCATAGCAATCCATTTCAGTTAACATATAAGTTTGCACAAATTCGCATGCTGGACCAGGGTAATTTAGAAGGGGTTGTATTGATGTTGTTATGGCCTTATGAGGTGCTATGGAGTAAATAAAAATAGAGATAGGAACTTCTGCTAACTAAAGTTGTAGGGTGAATGAACTAGTTACACTGTTCTAAAAAAAAAGAACTAGTTACACTGCATAGATATGATTTGGGTTGCTAATTTGTGGATTTGGTGAAATGTTGCTTGCCCTAGCCCAATTAGCAAGACTTTGCAAATTTATGTGGTCTTGAGTGAAAAGGATGGCTAAGCCCTATAGTCCAATGCGGAACTATGGTCAAAATATCTCACACTTGTAAAAACTAAGCACCACCACAAAAACCTAGCACTGTTGCCACCACCCTCTGTTCACTCCCCCTCTTCCTCTCTGGCAAGATGCTGGTAAGGAGGGGGAGGGCATCTATCGCTCTAGCAGAACTAGTAGTTGCTTATGTTTCAACATAAATAAAGTTTCTAGTAGTTGCTTATGTTTCAACCCAAATAAAGTTTCTATCTTTCCTCATCTTCTTCAATGGTAATGGTGATGGTGAAATCTTCTAGTGTTGGTTCCCAGGCCATCTTGCTTCGGTGGTTTCATCTATAGGCGAGCTTAGCTATGGGATTTGTGTCCATGGCATCATCGTCCTTGTCTCAAAGGAGTTGATAGCGATGTTCCTTCTAATAACGGTCCTTTGGCTCTCTCTCTTGCTCACTAGTAGTCTATCTGGCACTAGTAAAGAGCCAGTGGGGCTCACCTGGCTCTCTCTGTCCCCACCTTAGTTCAGGATGGCATGCCACGTGATATGTCCTGGGTCAACTAGGGGCTAGCCTTGGAACGTCCTCGATCACAGCCACACGTCAACCCTCTACTAGTGGTGTTGTGGTAGGCTGGGATCCACGCAGGTCTCCACATGTCTTTTTTTCCGGTCAAGAGCCATGCAGATGGTACCTGCTCGGGAAAAGCCGCATGGTTGGTTTTGACACACCTAGGTGACCCAGTTGGTTTGTGTCTTGATCTCATTTGACACATGATCCTCATATACTTCTCCTAGTGGGCCAAGGAAGCAAACTCAATGGCTTGGTTCCCATCCCACGTGCTATCAACGATGTGGGACCCTATATTTGGGACGCTGATAAGGGTTTTTTTTATCATAGTTTATTTCTCATCATTAGCTTTTGAATTAAAAAAAACACAAAAACAACATTTTTTTATTTGTAAATTATTATTGTTGCTAATTAATATGTTGTTTTACAGCAATTGTAGGACAAATGATCTAGCAGCCCTATATATAATCAAGCTACGAAGTCTTTCCTAGGTCAAAAGAGAAATAACGTTTTTTTTAGAGAAGGGCACTACATCCAACCGGATATATATAACCATTTAAATTGAAAATTTAGCCCCGCAAACGACTCAATCTGAAATTCAGTCCTATAAAGATTTGAACTCACGATGTTGGAGTGCTACTCAGGTCACTGCGAAAGAGAAAAAACACACAGAAATATAAATATTAGTAATCAATTGAGGGAACATTTGATTTGTCTTAGAGGAAGGAGGAGTACTCGACTCCATGCCCTCTCCTCGAACGTTCGTTCGTTCGAAATGATTCTTGCCGGGGCGCCAGATGTCCCCAAACGTTCGAAAAAACGAATCATGCCGGCCGCGCGCGGCCAGGGTGCGCACGCAGCTTGCCATGATGCCCAAGACGTCCACCACAAGTATTCCCAGGAATGGATGTCAGGCACGTTGCCAAAGTGCGTGCGACCCCTGCAAACTTATTTCTGTCGGTTTAATCTCTCTCGCAGCTACAGAAGATATCCCCGGTTAACAGCTAGCTATAGCTTTGCTTCCCTCGATCCCTGAACCCCTCTCATCATTCCACACGCCTCCTACGTGCTTGCATGACCACTTGGAGAAATTAACCATCGATTTAATTTGACTGTTGATCATAATAATATATCATAATCTGGAAAACGAAATTATTTAATTCGTTTCAAACCGCTATATAAATGTCCCAAATCTATCAGTGCTTCAACACACACATCTCAGGAAGGTAGCTAGCTAGAAGCAATCATTCATATAGATCGAGTTGTTAGCCATGGCGGCGAAGCTGCAGGGAGGAGGAGGAGGAGCGGCGGTGATGGCGGTGGTGGTGGTGGCGATGGTCGCCGGCGCGGCGTCCGGCGGCAACTTCTACGAGGAGTGCGACGCGACGTGGGAGCCGCAGAACTGCTGGTCGTCGGACAACGGCAAGAGCCTGTCGCTGGCGCTGGTCAGCAACTCCTCCGGCTCCATGATCCGCTCCAAGCGGCAGTTCGTCTACGGCTCCGTCTCCACCTCCGTCCAGCTCGTCCCCGGCAACTCCGCCGGCACCGTCACCACCTTCTACGTACGCCATTGATCACCCCCATCGATCGATCGATTATATATATATCTCATCTTCGATCTGCATCCATTTCCTTCCGCCGATCGATCGATCGATTGATTGATTGGTACACGATTTTGTGCGTGCGTGTGTGATGGATCGATGCAGACGTCGTCGCTGGGTGACAAGCACGACGAGATCGACTTCGAGTTCCTGGGCAACGAGACCGGACAACCCTACACCATCCACACCAACGTCTACGCCAACGGCGTCGGCGACAAGGAGATGCAGTTCAAGCCGTGGTTCGACCCCACCGACGGCTCCCACAACTACACCATCTCCTGGACCCCCTGCAGGATCGTGTAAGCGCACACACACACGCTCACCTACATTCAGGCAGAGGCGGAGCCAGGTGTGGGGCAGCTTGGGCCCAGGCCCCACACCTGGCAGAAAAAATACCAAGGAATTTACTAATTTTTTTATTAAAATTCGTTTAAGAAGTTCATACTCTAGTGATTAAGCCCCACTCTTGACATAATCCTGGCTCCGCCCCTGCATTCAGGTTTTGCAATTTCGCTTTCGGCAAAAATTTCGGTCATTTCAATAGAACCGAAATTTCCATATTTTTTGACCAAAATTTTCTGAAATTTTAACACAATTTAACTGAATTTAACTAAATTTCGTCTAAATTCAAAAAAAAATGAAAAAAACCGAAAGTTTCAGTCGAGATATTGACTTGCCAAAGGGGGGGGTCCGAAATTACCGAAATTTCAATCACTGCCTATATTGTGAAACTGGTCGGTACAAGCAACTTAATAACGGTAACAATTAATGCAGGTGGTACATCGATGGGATGCCCATCAGGGTGTTCCGCAACTACCAGAGCAGCAACGGCGTGGCGTTCCCGACGTGGCAGCCGATGTACGCCTACTCGAGCATATGGGCGGCGGAGGACTGGGCCACGCAGAAGGGGAGGGTCAAGACGGACTGGAGCAAGGCGCCGTTCGTCGCCAACTACCACGGCATCGACCTCGACGTCTGCGAGTGCTACGGCGGCGACTGCGTGTACGGCTGCGCCGCCGCGTTCAACCAGGGCGGCGGCTGCGCCGGCCAGCAGCTCACCGGCGACGAGATGGGGCAGATGAAGTGGGTGCAGGACAACTTCAGGATCTACGACTACTGCGTCGACTACAAGCGGTTCAACGGCCAGATGGCGCCGGAGTGCAGCCTGCCACAATACTGAGTGCTGAAGGATCGATATTGCAATTGCAAAGTTTTTGCTATATGTGCAATCATCTTTTGAGAGATGTTCCATTTTTTGCTACAGTTTCCTCTCCTTTTTTTTTATATTAAGGGTTTGTGTCTTTGATCGGTGGTTATATATCTGAATCCAATAAGTTTTTGATCGAGCTCTTTTTTTTGTATTCTTTTATTTTGTTTTGATGCTTGTAATTAAATTATATTTTTTTGGCATGTATATGTGCATGCCATGGTATATATATAAACTATATGTTTGTCTGCAATACAGTTACATATTATCTAAAAGAATTACATATCAATGTATCATTTTATTACATTTTGGATGCTATATGAGCTAGAGTTACCCTCTCAATCATGTAGTGGTGTTTGTGCGTCCACCTCTAGCTACCATGTAATTAATAAAAATCATATCTAATTTTTACATTCTCTCTATGTGTGTAAGTGTGGGCATATGCATTTGTAGTGTATTTTAGATATTTGCCCTTTAATTAACGAGCTAAAATTTACCATGCTCTTTATGCAAAATTAAAGCCCACAGTCATCAGTCATATTTTTCTCGATAGTATATTAAAGACTCAAAACAGTATGTTACTACCTTCTAATGATGTCTGATGGAGCCACAGTGACAAAATATGATCATCATTATTCATTAGTAGTACTTCTCGTCTACATTTTAAACAAAGTCATATGGCCCAACGACCTATCTGTTCGTAGGACAACCATGAACTGTGCGTGCCCCCCGCAATTTAGGATTGGATGTATAGAAAATCTTTCATACTAGTTTTGATCACTCTGCTCAAGAGCACCAGTAATGCCATTCACCGCTTAAAAACCATTTTTCATCGTACCAACCTTTTTTTTACTGGGAGGATTAAAAAAAGTCAGGCTTGTAAAATGCATTGAAAGGATTCTAGTAACGAACTGCTAGCAAAAATCAATTTTCACCGGTGGTGAATTTAGAGGTCCCCTGAAGTCGCCGTTAGCGTAAATCAATTTTCAGTAGCGGCTGATAAAGAGCACCCAACTAAGTTCCTCTCACCCTGGACCCTCCCTACTCCCTCCAGCCTCCCTACCTCTACTGCACGTGACGATAGCACCAACGACGGCGACGATTGCAACGGTGACAACTGCAACAAGATCAAGAGAAGCGAATTTGACGCCAATGGGCTCAGGAGGGGTAGATCCATTGCTGGTAATCTCGGGAGTTGCAGTTCGCCGCCTAGTCCTCTGTTGTCATAAAGAGGAGGGGGCGATGGTGCTCGAGAACAATGGAGGAGTTGAATCCGGAGCTTGTCATATGGAGGTGTTGCCGACGGGTGTGCACAGCCTCCTCGTGCCCTTCCTCTCTCCCTCTCCACCTCCCAGTCCTAGATACAGACGAGCTTCTCCTATGGGATAAGGGGAGGGAACAATGATGATGGAGGGAGAGGCCTCCAACTCCAGATCCAGTGGCACCGACCATTCCTCTCTCGAATCCACATAGTCCGTTGGCTTTCGTACCTGTTCGGTGATGGTGACGATCGCAGCTTGGTGATGGGACGATGCCCACAGATCGGTGACTGCAGCAGCGACCTCCACGGCTCCACCCCTGCTAGGCTGCCTCCTCTTCTCTCTAATCTTTCTCGTACATCTGGGTCGAAATTGTGAATGGATTTTCTCCATTTTTTATTGATTATGGAATATCGTGATGAATTGTTCTCCCCATATTTGCTTGATTTGTGTTTGATACATGGAAATTGTGGATTCAGTCATGTGGGCATTTTTAAACGATACTATTGATCAAACGCATGCAACTTAAAGCGAAAAAAAAACCAACAATTATTTTTCAATGGGCGGAGTATATTTGTTAGTTTCTGTGTTTCTTTACTATCCTTTAGTCATTTAGGATTTCTACTACGTCAGTTTGAGAACGTAGGGAGTATGAAGTTTAGTAGAGGTGAAAATTCAGGAGGCCGGCTAGTAGAATTGTTGAAAGTGAATTTCAGGAAACCCCATGTTTTTTTTTCAGTTACAGAAAACATTAGCAACACCACATTACATATATGATGACATTTGACAAATTGCTACCTAAATACATAAGATCTACCATGTACATCACAAATGGCATTTGCCATAGCTCAGCTAAGTACAATTATAAAAGAAGGCGATTTGGTTATACTACGTGATCTAAGCAGTAGTAGAGGATTAGTATTAAATCGCTGAAATTAACAAGTTTAGTTTGACCTATAAGCATATCTCACAACAAAGATCCTGCATACAGTTTTTATGGTACTTATACAAAACAGGGGCAACAACCGTTCATAAGATCATGATGGTGACAACCAATTAATTACTACTCCTGATAGTAGCTAAAATAACATGCAGGCATGTAAACTCAGGTTTATATATATGTCTCTTTTGAACGAGACAGCCAACAACTCCAATCTGATTCATGTACCAATGGGCAGAGTGCCAATTGGAAACAGGCAGCTCAATTCAAGCATGCAGAGCACTAACCATGTCAAAACCAGATACTGACTGACTAGTTTAATTAAGAGGAACAAATCAAGACGCGTTTGCAAAACCAGGAGAAGATTGTACACAAAAGCATAATGCAGCTGGCAGCACTATGTACAAGTGTACATCGTGAAGAGAATTAACAATTATCTATAGCATCATGGGAGCCAAAAATCTTCTGTTGATTTTGACCGGGAATGATCAGCATGCACGCAGAGAAACATAGATTAATTCAGAGAGTTTCAGGGTTGGATAACAGTGTGTATATAAGCCCCCTGTCTCCCTCTGAATTTTTCATCCTGTTTTCTCATCAGCATTTCTCTCTCAACCTGTGACACTTTGTCTGAACTTTTTTTGCTCGAGCTTTTCTGCAACGAGAGGAGGACGACGACGACGATGGGGAGGTTGAGCTTGCTTCTCGTGGTTTTCACGGCGGCGGCGGCGGTGGTTGGGCTCGCCGGAGCCAGCTTCCGCGACGAGTGTGACATCCCGTGGGAGCCCCAGAACGCCAGGTTCACCGACGACGGCAATGGCCTCTCGCTCTCCCTCGTCAGCAACTACTCAGGTCACGTACACAAAACCTTTTTCAGATAGTTTAATTTATTCTGACGAATTACCTTCAATTGAAATTCGAGATTGATCAGCTGAAGCAAATAATTAGGCGTGAAATTTTTTTTGATACTATTATACCTGCTGCGATCGGCGATTAATTTCTTAATTTGTTACATAATTGTGCAGGCTGCATGCTGCGGACAAAGAAGCAGTTCATCTTCGGGAGCGTCTCCACTCTTATCCAACTTGTCCCCGGCAATTCGGCCGGCACCGTCACCACATACTACGTGCGTGGGCGTGTCCTTCATTGATCGACTTGTTCTTTCTCCATCGCAAAAATTAACCAATTGTTTTTTTCCCATTAGCTGTATGTTTTCTATCGATAATCGAATTCAATCAGTCAATACATAAGTGCATCAGGGCATCGTACGTAAGGACTAAGGACTCAATTAATTACTCCGTTAGAGAAACTATCTTTTATCCAGGCCCCAAAACATAATATCTCGGTTAAATTAAGAACCGATATTAAAGATGCTTTAGCACCGGTTCTAAAAGTTCAAATATCTAAAAACATCTTTAGTCCAAGTTCTTTCAATCGGTAGTAAAGATTCTCGATTTACAGCTGGTCTCAACCGGTACTAAAGAGGGGGTTTTTAACTGGTATTAAAGATCGTTTCTCCAGTAGTGATATGATTTTGATTATATGCATTTCAGACATCGTCGGTCGGAGACAACCACGACGAGATCGACTTTGAGTTCTTAGGCAACGAGACCGGCCAACCCTACACCATCCACACCAACATCTATGCCAATGGCGTCGGCGACAAGGAGATGCAGTTCAAGCCGTGGTTCAACCCCACCGATGGCTACCACAACTACACCGTCTCCTGGACCGCTTGCATGATTGTGTATGCACACAAGCTAGATTTTAATCTTTGTCTGGTTGTTGCATCAAACTCAAATAATGGTCGTGATCTGGATGAGATGCAGGTGGTACATCGACGGGACACCCATCCGAGTGTTCCGCAACTATGAAAAAAGCAACGGTGTGGCGTTCCCAATGAAGCGGCCGATGTATGGGTACTCGAGCATATGGGCGGCGGAGGATTGGGCAACACAGGGTGGCCGTGTGAAGGCTGACTGGTCCAAGGCACCTTTTGTCGCGAACTACCATGGCCTCAACATCAATGTATGCGAGTGCTCTACTACCTCTGGTGGAGGCAACAGTTGTGCTGCAAAATGTGCTTCAACCTATAATAGCAAGTCATCAGTATGCCAGTTGAGTGATTCAGAGCTCGCACGGATGCGGAAAGTGCAGGATGAGTATAGGATCTACAACTATTGCGTTGATCCCAAGAGATACAACGGATCTGTACCAGTCGAGTGTAGCCTACCACAATAGTTTACCAGCTGCTATGAGTATGGATATTTTTTATGAGTTTTGAGATTTATTTGATGATTTTTTTTCTATTCGTAAATCTTACATTATTTGCTCTTAAAACAACTTGTACTTGTATACTTACATATGTTATAGCATACGCAATTACAAATACATAAGCAGTTTGTTTATGTGCTACTCTAGATTTATGTTGTTTTCATATTTGTCTTTCAGAAATTTCTTTTATATGCACCAAGAAGAAAAGGCTATCCTGATTGGTGGAGCACCTATTTTTTATTTTTTAAAAAAAGAGTTACCCGATCCCTATGTAACTAAAAAAGAAATTGAATCCCTTATGTGCTATCAAGTTGAAAGTTAATTATGTTAGGCTATTGTCATCAGCTCAATTATGCACTACGATAAGTCTAAATCTTATCATGATTTTGACAAAAAAAAATGCTACCCCTATAAAGTACATGTCATTTTCTTGTTTCTTCCTTTTCCCACGTCCTTCCCATTCTCTCTTGATCACTAGATAATATAGGTCACTCGTCCTTTGCTCTCACAATCACTTCTCTTTTATCTATGATATTTAGTGCCCCAACTCTTAGAGCATCAAATTCGTCACCTCTATTTGGCATCTTTTCACAAACGAGGACACTATTATACATTGCTGGCAACAATTGGTAAAAAGCTTGTGAGTTGCAATGGGTATGCAGAACGAGAGTCTTGGGCAAGCCAAGGCAACTTCGATGACAATGTTGGTGTTTGACATCATTTTAGTAAGTTAATTTACTTGTGTAAGCAATGTGTATCATGAAGCCAATACTTACAGGACAAAAGAGGATGGCCGTAACTATGACAACCAATAGAATGAGAGGAGGGGTGTGTGATTCATATTTGGAGGTGAGAAAATAAATGGGAGGTATATATTGAGATGGCGATACTACCGCAAGCGATACAAATATTAGCGAGAGGAGGGAAGGAAGTGATTGGCCAGACATACAAGACTAAGGGTGTGTTCTTTACCTTCTTTTCCCACTTCTTTTCTCTCGTTTTCCCCACACACACTTCTGAAATTGCTAAACGGTGCATTCTTTGAAAAAAATTATATAGGGAAGTTACTTTTAAAAAAAAATATTAATCTATTTTAAAGTTTATTTTAGCTAATACTTAATTAATCTTGTGGTAGTGGATTGCTCTGTTTTATGCGTGGGGAGGTGAAGTTCCTAACACTTCCACCTCCAAATATGGCCTAATGTGTATTGTAGGTAGCTATATGGATCATCTTAGCATGTCAAGAAAAAAAGGGCAAAGGGATATTTTTGTTATCCCACTTATCAATGTCCTCTTGTTACCACGAATGGAAATAATATAGGTCTTGGAATGGCTCAATGATATAAAAGAAACTCTCCTTTTTTAAAAAAAGAAATTTCTATATTATCAGCTATAGTGTCAATGGCCATTATACAAAATACCATTTTGTATACCATTTTCCCGCCTAAAGTGATCTAATTGATGGGCCAGTCTACTCAAAGCAATTTAGTTTCATAACTCTTTCTTCTAAATACATGTTCAATATATATCTAGAAATAGTCAAAGCTCTTTTATAAATATACTCGGGCCTATATGGTTGTTGCCTAATATTATCACAACTCAACTTGTCATAAGTGTGACCAACAATTTGTTAGCCACAAGTATAACAATATTTGGCTAGAAAAATAAGTGTATGACATGCAAGCTCATGGAGGAAAGTGTGGCTTGCCACAATTAAAACAAACAAACAAACAAACACTAAGCTAATAAACCGTGACATGCCTAACATGTGATGTGGTAATATGTGGCATTCAACTAAACAACACAACTTCCTAATTTATATTTTCTCGTTTTCCACACGTGCACTTCCCAAACTACTAAATGGTACATTTTCTTAAAAGCTTTCTATAGAAAAGTTGCTTTAAAGAATCATACATAATCCATTTTTCAAGTTTAAGTAGTCATGTGCTAATCCGTCGTTCCGTTTTATGTATAGGAGAGAAAGGGTTCCCAACCCTCAACGTTGAATGCAACCTAAGTAATTGATTTAGATTTCTACCAGAAGGAGGCACTTTATGTAGTAAAGAGTTTTTTATATATTAAAGAGAATTTTACTTTAAATTTGTAGTTGGCCATGTGTTTGGTCATAAATAATTTTAACACTATTAAATTTATTTTCCTACCTTTTTTAAAATCAGCAGATAGCTGTTCAAAAATTTGATTTGAATATTGAAAATAATATCGCATGCCATTTCATGTGTTTTTTGAATTAAATTAATTCCCGTAAAATTTGTTTAACATGGTTTAGGCTAGCCTTGGAATAAAAACTCAAAAAGTACTGTAATTTGTAATCTGAATCTTAGCGCTTAACTCTCGAGGGACTCCATACCAATTTTTTCTCTAGTATTGCAAGTCATCAATTGAAACATGTAAGTCACACTAACTCTTGTGACAAACCAATTAACTAGAGAAAGATAACTCCTTATTTTGATATCCTTCAGAAATAACACTCCTTCTTGTAACGTTTTCTCATTTTTCACAATTGTTTTTGACTCGGAGAAAATGACACATGGTTGGTTATTTTTGCAAAAATCGAATCTTGAATAGACCCTCGCCCACCTGACGCCTAGTTTTGTTTTTTTTTAAAAAAATACTCGTAGTTTCACGAAATATAGTAAGAAGAAGATAATTTCACTTCTATGGGTAGCGCTATAAATGTGAAAAGTAGAGGGGTGTTTTCGCAAAACAGCATGCCCTAGAAAAAAACTCTTGCCTTTTCCCGTCACCCTCTTCTCTTCCACGAGCGCCATCCCCACTGTACGTGATTGTTAACAGTGAAATTTGGTAAGCCCGGAGTAGTCATTGGCTTAGAGTCAGCATCGGCTTCGAAGTCCTGAGATTAGCCGATGAGAGTTGTCAAGTCGTCAGTTGTCGGATTCTTGCTATATTCGGTTAAGGAAATTGATCTACTAAAAAAGCTTATCCAAAAGAGACCGAGTTCAAAGAGAATGCGGCATGGCAAGTTATCTATTAATTAGAAATAGTTTGTTAGTTTCTTTTTATCTTTAGGAAAGTTTATTTCTTGTCCGATAAGGACTTGTATCAACCCATAGGTATATAAATATGTACACCCAGGGTCTATGTAATCTGTCGCTACGATCAATACAATTCGGCGCATCGCCACCCTTTTTACTTCCACTTTTGTTTTTATGATCCGGCGGAACTTGGCACCCGACGCGGGGCTGCATCGTCTTCGATCTCCGGTGAAGGGATAAATCCAATGTTCCGCCGGTCCAGGCAATTGTATCGTCTATGTCGGCGTTGTTCAAGGTTGCATCAGGACATTCGACCTATTGGATTACTCTGGTTTGGATAATATATTTGCCTGGCTATTTATCATATGTCTATGTTAATCTAGTCCTAGCATCTCAATTTAGCTCTATCGGTTGTCTCTCGCTTTAGGGTTTCTGCCGGTATCGGCTAAATCGCCTTGCTAGATTAGATTAGCCTAGGCATCTAGCACCCTGAAAATCAGTCATCGGCTTAATTGTCTAGATATTATGCTTTTTTTCATACTTTGTGCTGCATCAGTTAAGTTTGATCTACTAAGTCGTGCTTAGAACCATAATCTCTAGCCTACTTCTTGATTGCCAATAAAGGTTTCATCGGGGTTTCAGCCGGTGAGTTATCTGGACGTTGCATCGGCTCATAAGGATTGCATATACATATAAGTTGGATTTAGCCAATGACAACAAATGTTTCACTGTTTAATCTAATCTTGTGGATTGACATCGGACCTCCAGCCGATGTGTGCTTTAACCTTCGGATCGATGCTTATTTATCATATATTATTTGCCGATTGGTTTATACTGGATTATATTGTTATTTTATTATATCATCATTAGCCGATTGCTTTTTATATCATTATCTACATGGGACATATAGCCGATTGCTTAAATCCCATCGCTATCGGCTGGTATTGGTATCGGCATCAGCTATTATCGGCTATCGGCTGGAACTACTCCATCGGCTTGTCAGCCGATCGGCTGTTTTGATCTACTATTTGCATATCTTGTCAGTTGCAGGATCAAACTGACTGGCATGCCCACATCTCACCAAAATTTGGACTTGCACTGGAGCTAAGCAGATCTCCCAGGCCGGTGTGTTCGATTTTTTCGTCAACAGTGATTGTGCCTCGCGCCGGCTCTGGTGCCACCCTCCTTCCACATTTGTTGCGTTGTTGTCACTCTTTCTCCGCCCAGATCCCCTCTTCCCTATCAAACACGCCCTCCATCTCCTTCCCCGATCCCTATCCCCAACCCCTAGGTGAGGCAGCAAGAAACCCATAATCACACACCCCTAGGTGAGGGCTATCATATCTGTTACGACCACGACAATGACAGCTAAGAGCTGCAGCAATCAGATATACCGCTGCTTGCAACCGTAAGTATGTAACATGTGAGCAACCCTTAAATTTACAAGCTATAATATTATCTAATAATAACATGGCACGCCATTTTTCATATCACCACAAAAGAGTTCTTTCATTGCCTTAAATTGTTCTTTATTGAAAAACATTTTTCCTACTACTGTAACTCTTCCCATCTTTCTTTCTCGTAATAAACGTGGAGAGGAGTAATGGATGACGAGGTTGACGCTAAGAGCTGGTACAATTGTAGACTATAAGCCAGCTATAAACACATATCGAGGAGATTAAAGTAGAGAGAGATGAGCAGCAGGCTACAGATTTGTAGCCAGCTGTAGCACGGACTATAAGACGTAATGTGTGTATGACAGGTGTGATCAGATATTAGAACTCTTATATATTTGTAGGTTACTATTGTATGAATTGGTTATTGAATCAACTATAGATGATTTGAAGCTAATAGTTGGTTATACTATTAAACTGAGATTTGCTCCGATCCAAAAAAATACCTCGAGGTAACGGTACCTCACGGTACCAAATTATTTTCGATCATTGGATCTAACAATGCCCATCCTGCTCAGCTAGATCAAACGATCGGAAACAATTTGGTACCGTAAGGTACCGGTACATCGAGGTACTTTTTGATGGACCGGAGCAAATCTCTATTAAACTTGCTCTAATTTTATAACTATCTATTTTATTATCTGCTTGCTCTAATTGCTGCAGCTTCTCCCAGAATTAGAAGCTCCCCCAAACAGTTCAACTTTTGGTCCAGATTCTGAGAAGCTGTAGTTATAAAATCCAGAAAATGAACTGGGAACCAGAAGTTGGAAAACCCAGGTTTTCCAGAAAATGAATTTGAAGTCAGAAGTTGAGAAACCCATCTCCTCCGATTATCAGCTTCTGAGAATCTTAACCTCCTTAACCTCCCCAGACAGGCCTTTAGCAAACCCGTCTCTATCTTCAAAACCTGATCCCAACCCTATCTTCGAAACCTGATCCCAGTCCCAGCCCTGATATTAGAGGAAAGAAACACGTTGTTTCCAAACTGGAACCCGGAAGAACAACCATAAATAAGCAAATCAATAATCCCTTCCCTTGGTCCCCTGTCTCTCTACCCAAGTACTCAGTCGGCGCAACGCAACACAGTCAGAGTGATCGCCAGTGGGGAAGGCTACCAGCAGCAATCCAATCTAATCCACCTCCACTCCCCCGCCGCCGCCGCACCTGGACTGCCCGGATCCGCCGCCGCCGCCTCCTCTGGGGTTGATTGATGGCCACGCCGTTCCACAGCCCGCCCTGCCCAACAGCCGAGCTTCTCCTCCACCGTCTCTAGAAGCTTCACCCCCCCCCCCCCCCCACGTCGCCGCTTCCCAAACCCTAGCGTAGCGCCTCGTCGAGGGTGAGAAGGAGGGTGGGCATGGATAGGATCGTCGGGGCTAAGTACAAGCTGGGCCGCAAGATCGGGAGCGGCTCCTTCGGGGAGATCTACCTCGGTTCGATCTCTCTCTCTCTCTCTTACCCCCTATCCCTCCTCCTCCTCCTGCTTTTCCCCCTTCTTCGATTCGGTTCTCGGATCTGATGTGGTTTTTGCTTTCTTCCTCTTCTCTGCAGCCACGCACGTCGACACGTACGAGATAGTCGCCGTCAAGATTGTAAGCTCTCTTCCTCCTCCAACTCTCATGTTAGATTTTGCTTCAGTATTTGTTTGTTGCGGAAATTAGGTTTTGGGCTGATTGCATCGTTCTGATAGCTTTAACTCGCAGTGTGCCGTGCATGTGTGTTCTATAAAACCCTGAATAAAATGTTAGGTTACAACTTAATTCGCTGTTGATGTCGGTGAGTTAGAATTGTGCAGTAATCCTTTCTGTTTGGAAATCACTGGTTTATGCTGAAATGGTATACATTTTTTGTGGGAGCGAAACTGCATGGCCTGTAGTCAGTGCCGGAGCCAGGATTAGGACAGGAAAAGAGAATATGTGTGTGTCGGTGGGTGCGGCGCAAATAACAATGGCAATAGAACATGAAATGGTAACTAGCAGCTAAAGAATGTCCCGCTCTCTGTGACTCTGAACGCATTGCCACGAAGTAGTAGATGCAGTCTGCAATGGTGGATGTGTTCAAATTTGCCCGCGAATAGTGAATGTATCTCCCAATGAGGAATGCTATTATGCTTTGTTTCGACGAGAGATGCTAAAGCTAATATTCAACTAATGATCCCATGTTTGTAAGCTACTGCTGTATTTATGTTTTTTCTGTAGTCATTTATGGTTTACTGTAGCTTCAAACCAAGCAGTGGCAATAAACCATATGCTTACATTAATCACATAATTAGGCACTAGGTGCCCAAGAAAATAAAATTTCTTGAGGGGATGTGCCATTGCTCTAGTTCAGCCCCTGCCTGTAGCTACAAAAATTTCAAGTGGATATCATGGAACAGAGTATGGTTTCCTACACAACTGTGCTATGTGCCCATTAGTATGGGCTCATCGAAGAAAAGTCAAAACGGTGCATGATAGTAGGTCTCAATTTATCTTTTGCACCTACTATCCACTTTCACTTGTGTGTGTCTGTTTCTAGATTGTGAGTAGCTAGATGTTTGGTATGCTGCTGTGAAGTATGCGAGTTCTGAGGAGGAGCGCTTTGCGTTATAGGAGGAAACTATTGTGCCTCATTTGGTTCTTAAACAGATTTGTGAACACCTATTTGGTGTCTTAGTTGTATTTGACACAAAGAATTGAAAACATTCTTTATATTTTGAAATTCGAATTCAATTCAAATGCTAATTTTCAATATTTATTTTATCTAAAATTTATTTTTAAAAGGGAAAAATGCTTTACTTTGTCTTTCTAACACATGTAATTTTATCCTAGTTGAAGATGCTAGACGTTTAGCATTCTATCCTTGCATTGGAAATTTCTTCTTAAGATGTTCAATTTCACTACTGACTATTCCAAGAAATAATAAGTGAAATAAAACTTTTAAAGATCTCATTTTGTTTGGTTTTGGATTGAACTTGTTGTGAAAGTCTTGTAAACAGTGTTTTATTGTATATTATGCTTTAGTGATGTACCTTTTCTGCTTTAAGTTTCTCTCTTTTCTTATTTTCATATAATATATTTACATTGTATCGAATTAGATGGTAATTCGCATATTTATGTACTAATAAGGTCTCTGATATATCTTCAATATGATATAGTTTCTTTGCCATGTCACTGCAACAACCATGATTTAAGAGGACATTTGAACTGTTTATCCATTTTATTGTGCTGATGTATACTGCAACTGGTTATATTCAGGAAAGCAGCAAAACAAATCATCCCCAGTTGCTTTATGAGGCCAAGCTGTATAATGCTCTTCAGGGAGGGAGTATGTGTTTGGTCTTTAAATGGTTCTATTTTCTCAATTTTTTGTACCAGAGCTAACCCAAATCCTTCATACCTGTGAATTCATGTAGCTGGAATTGCAAACATAAAATGGTGTGGCATCGATGGTGAGGACAATGTGCTTGTTATTGATTTGCTGGGGCCAAGCCTTGAGGATCTATTTGTTTATTGTGGTCGAAGATTCTCGCTAAAGACGGTCTTGATGTTAGCGGATCAGATGGTAATGATAGAATTGGCTTCAATCTTTCGTTGTTCTGTTTGCAAATGGAGATGTAACTATGGAAGCTAATGTCTCTTTTGTGAAAAATATGGCTATTGCTTGTTGATACTACTTTTAGTTAACACACTATAGGCACTAGAGCATTTTTTTAGAAACTAGCACCAAAGGTGATAGAGGGGTTTTAGAACATTTTTTTTAATTCTACTGTTAATAACATAACTTCACGTACACGATATACCTGTACCAGGATTCCATATTGCTTGCAACATACCTTTTTTTCTTGAATTTTGTAACACAAATTTAATTATCTGGTAGTTTTTCTTTGATGGTTTGTTCTATTTCTTGCACTCTTATCAGCAAATTCAAAATTTGCCTGAAACTTTTTTGCTGGATAATTTTGTATACTGATTTCTATGGACTTACCTATACAACCTGCAGAACCATGTTTTTTCTTTTCCTTTACCGATCCATTAATTGATTTCTCATTTAATCATGAAGATAACAAGAGTAGAATTCATGCATTCCAAGGGATATTTGCACAGAGATATCAAGCCTGATAACTTCCTCATGGGCCTTGGTCGTAAAGCTAACCAGGTGTGTAACAAGTGGCTGTTTGTACATATATGTAGTGATTATGCGCTGTAATTGTTTTGCCATCCAACTCTCAGGTCTACATTATTGACTTTGGGCTTGCAAAGAGGTACCGTGACGCAACTACTAATCGCCACATACCTTATAGGTGAGCAAGTAGTTAACCCCACATTTCTTTTTTCTTTTGTTATTTTTCGCTATACATTAATTTAATCTTCTACTTTCTGGTGTAACATGTGTTGTGTGAGTGTCATTGACCCACTTGCCATTTTTACAGGGAAAATAAAAACTTGACCGGCACAGCTCGATATGCAAGTTGCAACACTCATCTTGGCATTGGTGAGAAATATAACAATTCTATTTATGTGATGTCATAAGTCATAACTTTAGATGCTGTAATCATGAATCGTAATAATTGTACTGTTTGATTATTTGTCCTGAAATTCCACTTAAATAAAGCGAAGTTATTATTTTATTACTTTCCTTTTACATCAATTACTAAACTTAGTTTTGCTATCCCTTGCCAGAGCAAAGCCGAAGAGATGATTTGGAATCCATTGGTTATGTTCTTCTGTATTTTCTCAGGGGAAGGTAGTATTCTTCAGTGTTAATAAGCTATTCAGAGTATATTTTTCCTTCTCGTTGTGGCAGAATAATTTATGATTGTAAGATAATATCTGTAACTGCAGCATGACCATTGTTAACAAAAAAGTAGTTATATCCTCTTAACATTAATAAGCCAGCTAGATTTAGTCTTGAATTTGCCATGTGCTATTGTGCTTGTATTATCCATAGATTTTTGTTTCTCTCTCTAAACTAGCCATACATTTTGTCCAGTCTTCCTTGGCAGGGTTTAAAAGCTGCCACAAAGAAGCAGAAATACGATAAAATAAGTGAGAAAAAGCTCGCAACACCCATCGAGGTTGTTTAAGTTTGCATGCTTTAATTTATGTGAATTATTCACACCTTTTTGTATCATTGATGTGATTGCTTATGGAGTTTTTGGTGCAGGTTTTATGTAAATCCCATCCTGTTGAATTTGCTTCTTATTTTCATTATTGCCATTCATTGACATTCGATCAACGGCCGGATTATGGATTTTTGAGAAGGCTCTTTAGAGATTTGGCTGACCGTGAAGGTATAGCATCAGAAACACTAGTGGTACATCTCCCATTATCTTATGTTACATGAACTTAATATCTTGTTCAATAATTTGGCCACCAGGTTATCAGTATGATCATGTTTTTGATTGGACACTGTTGAAGTGCAAACAATCCCAAAAAGCAAAGGCTCAACAAGTATGTTTCAGTGATTGCGATCTTGCTTCTTTTCACATAATCGTGATCGTTCTTATTTTTTAATTCTTTTTTGAATTTGAACAATTGTCAGAAATTTATGCATTTTAAAATAGGTTGATGTGCTTAATGGAATGTCTGTGATTTCTCCCAGATTGATTTTTCACTTATAATCAGTTTCTATTTGTGATCTCTATCTTAGCACCTTTTCTGATTTATCTCAATCTCTTCATTGACAGCAAGATCCAGGTGTAAGTAGCCGGGCGGTTCCAACGAATATTGAGAAGCACCAAGGTAGCAGATTGCACAAAATTCTTAGTATCAATAGATGCATGGTATTCCTTTAATACTGTGGCTTTTGTAACTTAGTCATGGTTGTCACCTGATTACTTTCAGTTAGTGTGTCACGCCCAACAGAAGCTTCTGGTCAGCTTGAATCAGAGCAACGCCCAGCGATTAGAATGCAATTCAAATCTACTGCTGAAAACAGTCGTTCAAGTAATCGGCATACTGACAAATTGGTAAGTTCTTCCTATTATTTGATGAGGAAATTTTCCTAACTAAAATAATGTTCGACTTAATTTGTTGTAAATAAATTTGCATGCTAATGAATTTCAGAGTGTTATTAAGATCTTACAGGCTCCCATTTTTTTTAACCTGATATGAATAGAACTTTACACATGAATGTTAAGGTGCCCTTTGTTTGGTTATATATCTTGTATTTCTCTGCAGAGAGTTGGTACTAGCACTGAAAATGTCTTGCTGCAATCCACATCATTTGGCCATGCTGATGCTCCAAGGAGGAATATAGCAATCTCAAAAACTCAGGGCCTCGTTGATTCCAATGCTCATGGAACGAACAATCCAGGGCCTTCTAATCACCTTTAGCATCTGTATCAGTTCATGAGAGCATATTGGTCCATGCAGACCACCATTGGTGAGACTTCTTTCAATTCTATGATGTCCTTGCAACTTCTTTATGTAGATATTATGGACAATTGTGTGGTGCTTTTGGGTAATTTTCTTCTGCTTGACCTTACGGAATCTTTGCTTTCCCTACAAAATAAGTGTGTAGAGATGGTATGGTTGTATCCTGGTAACCAAAGGCATGCATGATTAGAGTTGGAATCCACCATGTTGTCGCTGTCATTGCTAGACCCTCTTATGAGTTGTGAGCTAGTTTTCAAAGTGTGAGGGAGAAGATAATGTGTTGCTGTGACAAATTCTCCTTGAACACACTTTCTTGATTGTTTAAACAATGCAGGTGGTATCAGAAGCAAAGTTTGTGGAAGCCTAGAAAAAAATTAGGTGGAAGAAATGGGAAATACATGTATACCTAGTTGTATGTTGGCTCTAGGCATGCGCCTTATTTGACAATAATAATAGTTCAGGCGTTTAAAAATGTAAGTGGTCACCTTTTAAGAGATACCGTTTGGTCCGTATGGTATTTAGCGGCCATTACATTTTCAGTGTCTCTGTAACCTATTTTGGTGATGCCAATATGGCCACTCTTACCTATGTTTCTCATGCATTGCCTAGTGACCTTTTTTGCTGCTATACTTGTAGGTCACTGTATATGACTTCGGGAGAGAATCCAGAGCAAAGCTGTATGCCCTCAAATGTTTTGGTGCATGAAGCCGTTGCCAAAAATTGCTGTCAGGCTTTTAAGGTGTCCTCTGTATTGATTGAGGTGATTACTACCTAACAGAAACAGTGGTTAGGTGTGCTGTTAGCCTGTTACTGTTCAGCATCTTTTAGCGTGCAGTGGTCAAGAAGTTCACTTTTCCATATTATGTGGATAATATATGGAAGCTTAGGAATGTCAGTACCCTCTTTTGTGTTCTACATGTGTGAATGCATTGTAACGTTTTACCTGGGCTCATTTATTCAGGGTTCTTTGCCAATTAAAATTTTAACGATGCTATAATGATTGCTAAAAGAGATCTTGGAGGCTCATTGGAACAGCTTTAGCCATAATTAGGGATCAGCGCCAGCGCGATAATGGAACTTACACTCATCATCTAATTGTGGGATCTCCATCTGACTTTCAGTTGTAAGTTGAATGGAGATGGATGCTATTTGTTCTATTGTACTATTAAGTAACTGCAATAGAATTTCTCACTGAAATGTTTTCTCCCTCACCAGATGTCAGTTTGCTGCTGTCAATCCACCAGCCAAAAATTGAGATCTTATTCAGCTTGGATGGGCTTGCAGTCTCTAATGAGTTTGGCATCATATCCAACCTATCAAAGATTATGAGGAGCTTTCTCCGAAGTATTTATGATTTGGTTAGCATGGCATACTTTATTTTCATCTTGACTTGTCAACATCAATATGCCTAAGCAAATGGTTTGCTTCCTGTGAAAAATGGCAGAGCAAATTCAGGGCCATTTGGACTTTCAAGTGCAACTCTACTGTGGCTTATGATGCAGATCACTCTTTGAATCTATGAGAGCAAGAAACCTGGTGGTTTTGTTTCACAGAGGTAAATTGGTTATCATTTGTGCCATGTGAGCTGTTGACACTTGGCGAACATGGCTTGGCTGGTTTGTGTTCTGCTAGATGATTTCTACTCTGATGTGTAATTGAAGAGCTCTCGTGTCATAATTTGTATAGAATCAATATTTCATTATTCTAATATTTATAAAGACATCCAAATGAAAGCGGGGTTTTTGGCATGGAGCTTCAACTTGTTTGAGTTAAAAGGAATGAAATCGATTGCTTATACCATTCTGAAGAAATCAGACCTTCAGCTACCCTATTGTGCTTTATCTATTTGTTGATATCGCAAAAGGTTCATTTGAATGTACTGTGCACCATACGTTTGATGGTTTGAGTTGCTCGGGCATTACTTCTGGCCTTCTGGGTGTAAAGCCAAATTACTTATGTGTGTTCATGTAATTTGGTGTTATGCTCAATCCTTCAGGGATTTTAAGTTGTCATAACCTCGTGGTAAGCGGAGTATCTGTTTCATTCTTGGATTTGGAATTCATCAACTTGTTCATTGCTTTGAACAGTTTATTTCCAGATTAAGCTTCAAAGTTGGAACAGATCAGGTAGCTAGGTCCTGTTATCTATTCATCTAAGCTATGTTTTGTACTCTTCCCGGTCGTCACGGGGACGAAACCTCATGCTCTGTTATTTATTCAGACACCAAAATTTCTTGGTCATGGAGTTCGAGCTCATTTACAGTGATTGCAACCAAGCAAGATTTATCTCTGGTCACTAGTCATTCAACAAACAGAACTGGCACCCGGTTTCTGAACAGGTTTACTCCAGTTCCTTTGCAAAGTCGATGTTGTCGACAAACACCTGCCATGACAAGAGGAAGAGTGAGCAAATGTTTCTACTGATGACCAGCAGAAGAAAGCACTTTGAAATATTTGGCTGATCGAAGCATATGATCCGATACCGATTTCCAGCCATCAGGGTCCAGGATGGACGTGATCTTGGTGTTGATCCCCGGCAATGGCCCTGGCTCCCGCACCACCTGCCCTCCGAACAGCTTCACCACCTCCGCCGTCTTGTAGACGTCGTCGGTTCCGATCGCGATCTGCGTGAGCATGGCGCGATCGCGACGTCATGCCAGTTCAGCTCTAGAAACCATTGATGGATGAATGGAATAAAGGAGATCCATGATAGATGGATCCATCCATGGTGTTCACCTGGGCATATGCATTCCCCTTGTCATATTCAGTGACACCATAGTTGTATGTCAGCTCCAGCACAGCATTCTTGTCTTCAGGACCATACCCCATCATTGCCACTGTGTACTACACAAGCACTTGAAAATGTCACCACATTGTACATGAATGGTCCCCAAATGAAGTTATTTTTTCTGCAGATTGATCACCTTGTATTCAGGGTTATCTCTCTTCCTTAGCAGCTCCATGCCACAGGCCTGCAAGATGGATCATCCAATCCAATGCAATGAGAATCATCAAGGCAGGATAAGCTCTGAAATTGCGCGGGTTCTTATTTCTTTTCGGTTTCGGATTCGAACCTTCTCATAGAAGCTTATGGCCCGATCAAGATTACCGACACGGAGCATCACCTGGCACAGGGGCTCTGGAGTCCCTGGCCTCTCAAGGATCTCAAACTTGTAGCCATCTGGGTCCTCGACGAAGGCGATCACCGTCTTGCCGCCCTTGACAGGGCCGGGCTCCCTGGTCACCTTCCCTCCTTTCGCCCTTATCAGCTCCACCGTCTTCGCCACCTGCCATGATCAATTCCAAGAACCCCAAACACAATTGAGCCAAACTTTCAACCAACCATCAGACCAAGCAAGTAATGATCAATCACACTTGCGATCGATTGCAATTGTCGAAAGCTGAAATTACATCGTCGACGGCGATGCCAAAGTGACCGAAACCTGCCCCGATGTCATACTTGTCGACGCCATAGTCTGCGCCATATGCGAGAGGTGAGACCAAAGGAGGAGGAGGAGGAACATATCAGTCATATGAGAGAATGAACAATGTGCAATGCAAAATTATGCAATGGGAGGAGTGGAGTAGCGGTTTTAACTGTAGGTGAGCTCGACGACGAAGTGGTTGTCCTCCGCGCCATAGCCGAGGAAGGCGTTGGTGTACTTCTCCTCCGGGATGTCGCGCTTCCTCAGCAGCTTCATCCCAAGGCACTCCGTGTAGAACCTATGCAGCAGCAGCAGCAGAAGATCAATCAATTGAGGAAAAATGTCAGATTATGTGTTTGATTTTCACTTCTCAGTAAGAGATTGTATCCGTGAAGGTGATGAGGTTTGTCTACTTGATTGTTCTGTCGATGTCGCCGACGCGGTAGACGACGTGGAGCAGCCGCCGGTTGTCGCTCTTGGCCCAGGCGAAGGCCTCCTCCTTGCTGCCGAAGGCCGCCGCCGCCTGCGCGGCGTCCGGCGGCGAGGCCCGGAGCTTGGGCGCGGCGCTCGCGCCCCGGGTCAGCCTCACCGGCTCCGGCTGCAGCGCTGCAGTCCATCCAAGAAGACGTACAGCTGACCGATCGAACCGACTGAATTTGCTTGGAGAGGAGGAATCAGCCGGGGGTCGACAGGGGGGCTCACCTGCGGCGGCGGTGGAGAGGAGCAGCGACCTCCGCGGGACGGCCGGCGAGGCGCAGGCGGCGACGGCGGCGGCGCGGCCGGCGGCCATGGGGAGAGCTCTCATTGTGCGGTGCGGTGCGGGCGGTGAAGCTTTGGTCGGGGCGGTTGGTTGGTGTTGCCGCTGATGCTATCCTTAATTCCTGGCTGCTTTGCTCCTTCCTTTCGCGCCACATTTCCTTTTTTTTTTCCCGCGTTTTAGATGTAACCGTTGAGAAACAGGTGGCACATCAACATATTCACGTTCCCTGTGCAGCTATGGTTTTGGAGCACCACCAACAGAGTACGTGTCTTAAATCCTCTAACTGAATGACTTTAGCGTCACCGATATGCAGGTTTATAGTAAAGTGAATTTATATATGTCAGTGATGACTTAAATGGAAGAATTAGCGTCCCTCTCGATGGATTGTGGAAACCATGAAAGGTTTGATGAAAAATTTGCCACCTCCGCCAAAAATCATCCCAAATGTGATACAAACACCAATAATGGCGGAGCAGGTGGCTGTTTAACTAATAGGGCTTGAGTGCTTGACAACGATCAAACAATCAATTGTTAAGGACATTGACAGACTTGTAGTGGTGGCAGCAACCACAGAGCCCTAGCAGTTTCCCAACCAGGCAATCTCTGCCTCTGTCGATTATAGAAATCGGTAATAATAAAATAGTTAACACACGAGACCTAAACCTAAAGTATATGGATATGCATAGGGACAAGAATTTAGACAAATTCAGGTTGAGAGGTAATACCCTACTCCTATTTGATAATTATATCCATCGGGTGTAGTATTGATCTGACTATCTGACTGTGACATATCTCGCCATCTATGGCTATGCCCTTAGATTCTTATTTGAGAATTATATCTGTCGGGTGTAGTATTCATCTGATGATCTGTTGTGGTTTATCTCGCCATCTATCGTTATGTCCTTAGATTGCTCCCTGCTCACCTTATATAGGTTGGGGGTAGGGTTACAAAGAGAAAACCTAATCGGACATGGCATTAGTTTTCTAGTCTATTATATGGTAGTACCTGGTTGGGAAAATAGGTACCGCCATCGAATACAAGGCAAAATTGTGACCGAGTCATACTTTGGCCTTCTTTAGATCTAAAAAAAATTTTGGCCAAAAACGTCACATCAAATGTTTGGACACATACATGAGGCATTAAATGTGGGAAAAAAACCAATTGTACAGTTTGCATATAAATTGCGAGACGAATCTTTGAGCCTAGTTACGTCATGATTTGACAATATGATGCTACAGTAAATATTTGCTAATTACAGATTAATTAGGCTTAATAAATTCGTCTCACAATTTACATGCAGAGTCTGTAATTTGTTTTGTTATTAGTCTACGTTTAATACTTCAAATGTGTATCCATATACTTTAAAAACTTTACACCAAATAACTAAACACACCCTCTATTACATAGGGTGTGTTTAGTTCACGTTAAAATTGGAAGTTTGGTTGAAATTGGAACGATGCTACGGAAAAGTTGGAAGTTTGTGTGTGTAGAAAAGTTTTGATGTGATGGAAAAGTTGAAAGTTTAAAGAAAAAATTTGGAACTAAACTCAGCCATAATATATAGATCCGGCTCACCTCCTATCTCTAGTTAAATATGGAGGCTGTAGTTAAATATGAAGGCTGTGTGTGTACCGGTACCAACTTTCTCCACATCCATGTTAGGAACCCACTACTTCCAACTCAACAACAAGCATCCACCATAGAAGCAACACCTGTTTTGGGGACAAGAGAAGAAGAAGCTATGGAATACAAGTGCTGGAAACTTCTAGAACCGAGGGGGGAAGGCTAGAGATCGGAGGAGAGGTAGGGGAGAGAGATCGACGAGGGTGCCCACCGGCTGCCCAAGTCGCCGCCGCCGCCGGGAGCTTCAGCTCCGCCAAGTTCAAATGATCTTTCGATGCCCCCTGGTGTTGCCGACGGTGCTGCTTGTATGCTGCTCCCTTCCGTTTGCTTGGGCCTCATGGCAATAGGCTGACCAGCCCGTGTGCGGCCCACCCGGGATCCTGACAATCCCCTCTTCTTGAAATTCGGCTTGTCCCCAAGCCGATGGAATACACCTCCCGGATCCCATGGTTGCTCCAAATATTTGGTGTTAGACAATAAACCATCATTGAAGAAGAATAGAGCAAGTAGCTTTAGCTTGAATAACTTCTTACTCCATGTAAAGTACTCCTGGGTGATGCATGACAATGGCACTATTACGAATTGCTTGCCAACATTGATTCCCAACAATTTGATATGTTGCAAACAGTGACAACCTCGCTTGATCAACACCACTGTAGGAACTAACCCAAAAGTATACTTCTCATCATGAATTGAATTAGTGTCTACTTCCATTCCTTTCATCCTTTTGCAACCTTTTTCTTCAGCAATCACATATAGGAAATCTCTTTCAACATTCAAACCAATGTAATTTGATTCCAAACATGATTCAGATTCTGATATCACCATGCAAATTATTCTCATATTCCATTTCTCCACTATAGTTGGGTAGTAGTTGAGCAACATCCCCCAGAGATCAATAGATGATAACCAAACAGATAATGATTCAGGATCAGAAATAACTAGATTGCTTTCCTTGCTAGCAAGTGATGTCAAACTGACCTGGAAAATCAAAGCCCAAAACTGGTGCATTTTCTGCTCAAAGCAAGTGGAAGTTTCAATAGTCATCATTTTCTTTTGCTCATTCCAAGGAATTATACTTGCAGCAAAATCAGTAGTGCAACCCTTCCCTACTCTAGCTTCCAGCAAACCAACTAATGGCAGCCAAGGTGGCATCCATTGCAATCTGGTCCTAAAATAGCTGGGGATTGGCAAGGCTAGATATGGATTCCAACATTCCTATGTCCCTTCCTCATAACTAGTGTCAATAATTCTACTACTCCTTGTCCTCTTCTCATCCCATGCAATTATACTCAAAGCAGTGACATAATTGCAACATTTCCTGCTACTAGTTTGGAAAGGCAAAATTCTGAAACTTGCTTCATGTGGTGGAGGCCAGGGCTCCAACTCAACCATTTCATTTGATAAAACCACCCTTTGAAGTATAAGAGCTCCAATACAAAAATGCACCCATGCCAAAGAACTTACTAGACTTGGTGGAGGCCAGGGTGGGACGAAATAGAATCTCATCCAATGATGATTAATTGCAGTCCAGGTCATATACCACTTCTTCCATCCTGACCAGGCAGGTGGCCATGGGTTTTTCTTGGGGTGTTCCATCAGTGGCTTATTGTCACTCTCAGTACATTTCATCGAACACTTCATAGGCACCTGATCTCCCACACAGATGGCATCACCAAGCTTCAGCCCTGTGGGTGGAGACGGTTCTACCAATGATGTCATGAACTCCATAGGGCTAGCATAAGCGGGAACGCAAGCACAACTTGTTAAGTGCCCCGTTTGATGCCGGAGCTAGACATCAAACACTTAGCATGCGTCACCTTGGGGTGGTCAAGATTGTTGATGTCAGTGGCACCGATTGCGTTCCTAGCGGCTACCAACTCCATAGAGGCTGCGGCAGTGGTGGCGGACGTAACCACTACAGCCACAGTGAGATCGGGCTCGATGGTAGGACCGGAGCATTTCGTCGAACACATGGTGGGCGTGACTTCGGGTGAGTCCTTGGTGACGATGCAGGGGGCGTGGCCCTTGTCCTTGTTGTCTCCTAGCTCCCAGGTAGCTGTTGGAGCAGTATCCTCACCAATGTGACTTGAACTCGCCGTTGCCCAAGTGAAGTTGTTGTTGGGGCATTCTGTCAAACACTTGGTAGGCACTGGAGTAGGTGGTGCCATAGGTGCTGTAGGTGATGTAGCCTTGAGAACAGTGGTGGTTGCCCTGATGGCTGCAATTATTTCCTCGGAAGCCTTGCTCCTACGAACCTCTATCTCTTCCAACTTTTGAAATATCCGATTGATCTTCTCCTCTTGCATGCGCTTGGCCTCCATTTGTTCAAACTTCTCCAATATCCGATCTAGAACTTTGTCCAGCCATTTCTCCTCTTTGTTCATGGTAGAATTGATGGGGACAGGCTTAGATGTCCTCTGATCTTCCTTGGGCATCTCAGATTGGCTAGGCATTCCATCGAACAGGTTATGGGCGTTGGTGTCATGAGCACCACCCTTGCCCAAATCCAACAACCACTTGCATGGGGCGTTGCTGCAGTACTCTCCCATCAACTCCATGCTAGAAATCCCACGAATCGACAGCTCTGATACCAGATTGTTAGGAACCCACTACTTTCAACTCAACAACAAGCATCCACCATAGAAGCAACAGCTGTTTTGGGGACAAGAGAAGAAGAAGCTATGGAATACAAGTGCTGGAAACTTCTAGAACCGAGGGGGGAAGGCTGGAGATCGGAGGAGAGGTAGGGGAGAGAGATCGACGAGGGTGCCCACCGGCCGCCCAAGTCGCCGCCGCCGGGAGCTTCAGCTCCGCCAAGTCCAAATGATCTTTCGATGCCAGTTGTTGCCGACGCTGCTGCTTGTATGCTGCTCCCTTCCGTTTGCTTGGGCCTCATGGCGATGGGCTGACCAGCCCGTGTGCGGCCCACCCGAGATCCTGACAATCCACTAAGCACCAACGAAAATAATATTACTAAAAAATAAATTTGACATTAAAAAGTTATGCATAATGAAATTAAATTCAGGCTAATCTGGATATACATGCATGTCATTTCATATGCTTATCTAATATAAAAGTAGTGAAAAAAGTAAACTTTCTAGCAAAGTTTCAACGGCCGCATCGTCGAAAATACATGGCATGTCCGATTTCCGCTTGGAGACGAGCATGACCAATAGAATGTGAATAATTCATTCCAAAATTTTGTTATTGGGTTTGTTTTCTAAATTAGGAATAGAAAATGAAAAAAAAATTATCTATTCAAGAAAAAGCCTAAATTTAATTTCTAAAAACTAAAAGTGCAACATTTTATTAAACTACCAACCGAAATATTTCCTTTTCCACCGTGCCCGCGCGAAAAATGATCGCTCCTCCACCCACCCCATGCGCGGTAAGGAAAAAAACTCGTGGGAAAGAGAGATTGGCAACGGGAGATGCGGCATCGCTCCCCCTCAAATAAACAGAGCTATGAATGCGGGTTTCCAAAATATTAGGATCAAGATAGGATAGCCATTCGATCCTTTGCTTGGAGCCTTGGAGTAAGGGCATCCACAATGTACTTCAAATCCAGTCCATAGTCAATAAAATAATACATTCAATTACCTAACCATATTGTGAGTAGTGTATAGGAGAGAAATAGCAAAACTCATCCATAAGCATATAGATTGCCCATATAGAATAAAATATGTCATTTGTCTCTATTTCCTCTCTCCTCCTACTAATACTTACTACCTACTCCCTCCGTTCCATGAAAAACCAACCTAATACTGGATGTGACATATTCAAGTACAATGAATCTGGACAAATGTATGTCTAGATTTATAGTACTAGGATATGTCACATCATTTGTTTTTTCGGGACGGAGGGAGTATATACATTATGAATGTTGTAATAGTTAAAATCCACAAATATGGATCCCATCTTTATGGACTCCTTTAGCTATAGCTATATAGTACATTGGTGATTTGGTGTTGCCCTAACCACCCCCGAGTCTAAGTCCTTGGAGAAACTTCTTTTTATGGATAAGTCCTTGTACGTCCCTACGGTAAATGAAATCGCGATTTCCCCCTCGTCCGGCAGCTCACGCCGCCTCCGCTAGCTCCCCAAGTCGAAACGTCGTCGCCCCTCATCATCTCCTCCTCGTTGTCGCACCCCCAACCGCACGCTGCCGCCGCTCGCTTCCTCCTCTCCTCGTCTCACTCCAGAAAGCCAAGCTGCAAAGCACTATGGCACATCCCATAGCAATGGCAGCATGGACACACAGCCATCGGAGCCGACCGTGGTAAAAGCTTTCATCGCGGTGCCTGATATATCGACGCCGACATCGAGCACGCCCCAACTCCATGTGAGTTCACCCCATCTTTCCTTCTACTTGCTAATCCAGTGTTTGGTCTTGGATGTCAGTCTGATAGTTCTGCTCCTGCTATGAGATTGATGAATTTGTTTGTTGCTTCACCTGTCCGTTCTCCCAAAACATGTTGAACTCGGTGCTGCTCGAATAAAACTTGTAGTGTTGATTTGATTCCTTAGTTTAGGGATAGCTATAAGGGTCACCACCATTGACATGGTAAATTGTAGGTCCCAAACGACATTACATTTTAGTTGTGCAGGGAGTTATATAAACTTCGAAATAATTCATTCTAATATTCAGTGAAAAGGTTTAGGGTGAGAAATACTGCAAGTTTTATTTTAGACTAAAAGAGTCTAAAATAACAATACTCTCTGCATATCTCCTTGAAAAGGGGGCTACTGCAACGAAGAAGTATTATGGAACCATAATGGTTTGTTTTACTCAGTTGTTTGAGTAATTGAGTTTAATTTCCATAAACATCCACTATTATGATGTAAAATATTTGAAGACCGGACAGGTGAAGATGATCTTTACCAGTAGAAGCCAATAGAAGACTTATTCAGTTTGGCCTTGGTAAAATCTGAAACCTGAAAACTTAATGTTCTGTTTTCATATATGCAGATCCAACAAATGCTTAGTTATTACTCCGTATGGTGGAATTCCATCGCTTATCAGCCTGGTAAAGAATACTGTTATTAATTTTCTAAAACTAAGAGCAATGCCATAACTTATTCTCTATCCACTTATGATAGGAGGTTTTATTCTTATGAAATTGTTTATTTCATTATTGATTCCTCAATTTTCTGTAGTTTTTTCTATGCGTGCTAACTCAGCAAGCTCTTTTATGGGCCTAATTGCTCAAAGACAGATTCTTTTTTACTCTAGATTGAATTAAATTATGTACATAACAAGTTGAAATCAGATGTGCATATTTAATGGCTCAGTTCTGCCGACCAATAATAACATAATATTTAAACATTTAGTTCGGATCATAGGTTCGTCTCGATATCTAATTCTAGCTGACTGACTATCAATTTATGTATTTTTGAAAAAAAAATCAAATTTAAAGTATAATCCAATTATAATATATTATGGCCCATATATACACAAGGCTCTTATACGGGCATCACAAAGTCGCGCAACGCGCGGCTAGGTGGCTAGTTATACTAGTTGAAATATCTAGGAGATAAGAGAAGGCAAGCAATGGAATTTGTTTTTCCCATTCAGGCATTCAGCCCCGTTTGGAACTCAATTCCACAATGTTACTAGCTCACTTCCACAATGTCAAACTGCTTGAAATACCAGTCCCTTTCTTCTGCCCAATTCCACAATGTTAAATAGTTTGAATACCTTTAGTTTAATTTCAAAAAAGGAATTTGAAGATTCCCTTTCTTGTGCTCAATTCCACGATGTCAAACAGTTTGAATACCTATCCCTTTCTTCAGCTCAATCTGAATCTTTTTATCTTATCTATAACGAGTCATTTTTTTTCACCATGTACATCGTACATCATTTCTTCTACTGTTGAATAGTAGCTGAGAAGCAGTGTCCATTCTCATTATGCTTGAATTTTCAATCCATTTTCATCCAAGTATCCAATTCAAGATGTATTTGCAGGCTATAGATGAGCTGAAAGATCTCCTTTCTTTTCAAGCAAGAACAAAGTTAAGCAAGGGAAGATCCAAGAACAAGAACACCAATGGCTGACGAGTCATGGAGGGCGCCGGCGATAGTGCAAGAGCTGGCGGCAGCCGGCGTCGAGGAGCCGCCGAGCCGATACCTGCTACGGGAGAAAGACCGTTCTGACGTCAAGCTGGTCGCCGCCGAGCTGCCGGAGCCCCTCCCCGTCGTTGATCTCAGCCGGCTAGATGGTGCCGAGGAGGCCACCAAGCTCAGGGTGGCTCTGCAGAATTGGGGCTTCTTCCTGGTCAGCTTCTAACAAGTGATTCTACTTTGCTTCATAAAAAAGACTTGCTCATTTGTATTCATTTCTCCAATTTGTGTGGTTGTGTGTGATCCAGCTTACCAACCATGGAGTAGAAGCCTCTCTGATGGACAGCGTGATGAACTTGTCGAGAGAGTTTTTCAACCAACCAATCGAACGGAAGCAAAAATTCAGCAACTTGATCGATGGCAAGAACTTCCAGATTCAAGGGTATGGAACTGACCGGGTGGTTACCCAAGATCAGATCCTGGACTGGTCTGATCGGTTGCATCTCAGAGTTGAACCCAAGGAGGAGCAAGATCTTGCCTTCTGGCCTGACCATCCTGAATCTTTCAGGTCACCTACTCACCTCACATTGATTGATGCTTTACTTTCCAGTTTCCACACGTCTGAATTTCTTTCTCTTTTGTTTTTTCTTTTTTTTGCAAAAGATAGTGTTTCTTACTGTTCATATATTACTTACAAAGTAACAAGGATTGTTGTCTGAATTCAGAAAGTACAACTTGACGATGTATCAAGAAATGGTTTTGCTGAGCTATTTGAGAGCCTTTTCTTCTGCAGGGATGTTCTGAACAAGTATGCATCAGGAACCAAAAGAATTAGAGACGATATCATTCAGGCTATGGCCAAGCTTCTTGAGCTTGATGAGGATTACTTCTTGGACCGACTCAACGAAGCTCCTGCATTTGCAAGATTCAACTACTACCCTCCCTGTCCAAGGCCTGACCTTGTGTTCGGCATCAGGCCTCACTCCGACGGCACCCTCTTGACGATTCTTCTCGTCGACAAAGATGTCAGTGGCCTGCAAGTTCAGAGGGATGGCAAGTGGTCCAACGTTGAGGCAACTCCTCACACATTGCTGATCAACTTAGGTGACACCATGGAGGTAATTGCCTTATTGGCATCCAACATCCAAAATACTTACTCTCTGAATCTGCAGACATCCAGTACTTCCTCCGTTTCATATTATAAGACTTTCTAGCATTGCCCACATTCATATATATGTTAATGAATCTAGACACATATATGTCTAGATTCATTAATATATATATAAATGTTGTTAATGAATCTAGACATATATGTGTCTAGATTCATTAACATATATATGAATGTGGGCAATGCTAGAAAGTCTTATGACCTGAAACGAAGGTAGTATATCTGATGATAAATCCAGGGTTTCTGAATGCTGATGCATATTTGGATGCAACATTTCTGTGCAGGTAATGTGCAATGGCATCTTCAGGAGCCCGGTGCACAGGGTGGTGACAAACGCCGAGAAGGAGAGGATCTCCCTGGCCATGTTATACAGCGTGAACGATGAGAAAGACATTGAGCCGGCGGCTGGTTTGCTGGATGAGAATCGGCCTGCAAGATACAGGAAAGTGAGCGTCGAAGAGTTCAGGGCCGGGATCTTTGGAAAATTCTCTCGAGGAGAGAGGTACATCGACTCCCTGAGGATCTGATCTCGAAGAGAGCATGATTGTTGCAAGCTCAGCAGCTTTCAGTAGCAAGTATTTCCTTGGGAAAACAAACATTTTTCCCCCCTTAAGGGAATTGCTGAAAACATGTCGCAAGTTCTCGTAAAGAAAAACTTTTAAATTTAACTATGGTATAATTGTAATATAATTACATATGTAATAACCCCTCCGTTTCATATTATAAGACTTTCTAGCATTGTCCACATTTATATAGATGTGGGCAATGCCATAAAGTCTTACAATATGAAAACGGAGGAAGTCTTGTAACTACGGTACTGCATTCTTTTCAAATTACAAATTACTTGTCATCCTAGCTAGCATTCAAAATTTATATCAAAATATTTATCGTTCTCACGTTTCAAGGCACTTTCCTACCCTTTATCAGCGTAGCCATACTAGTAATACATGGTGATAGTAAGTAGTAACTTTATATCATGACATCCAACATATATTAAATTGTTCAAGTATGATGAAACTTAATTAATGTACGCAATTAACACAATCTACCAAAACAGTTTTGTCATTATTTAATTATTATGCTAAGAAAATAAATTTCACATAATCCACCTCGCTGAAAAAAAAAATCATATAGCTCTATAAAAAAACCATATAACCCTATAAAAAAGGAAAAAAAATCATATAACCCTAGACATGTGGCATGAATAACACAAAACCCTCACCTCTGGGTTTGTTCCAATAATAAATTCCTAAGGTTTTTTCAGATACAATCCGTGGTACAATATAACTGTTCCATTAACTCCATCATATGAAGCTAGTTAGTGGCCCTTCTTTTCAACCCACCTTCCTCTCCCCATTAGCCCTTATTATCAAACTTGCACATCGATAATTTGAGCTCTCAGCTCTCTTGCAGTATTGAGGTAACCAGTCAAAAATTACAAGATAACAATACTTGCAATGCCATTGGCTCATTGCTGATAACAAAAATTGACATAAAGGAATTAGAAAATAAAACAGAAATTTAGTGTGCCAACACTGATCAACATAACTTGGAGCCCTTTCCACCACATAGTTGTCCGTGTTTAGCTCTAAACTCGACCATACCTTTTTTTTAATAATGGAATTTACCGGCCTTTGCTTTAAACAAGCTATAGTCAATTATTATAGGGAAACCAATCAAAAGACCGCGAGTTACAAATTCATAATTTTATTAAAAACGAGAAAACTACTTAGAACACCACCCTGGAGACAGAGATGGCCTTCTATCTATGGTTGGTGAGGAACTATATAATCGTTGTTTTTTCATCAACTTACAAGTTATATGTAGTCCTTGTATTCATTGTGCCGATCAAATTTCGCTCACATCACCACTAGTGACCAATGTCGAACCGAAGCGAAACATAAAATGAGAGTATTTGAGCTATAAATCAGTCGTTTGTGATCTAGATCTTGCCATCACAACAACTATTGAAACCACCAAACTGATGTATGTAGCCAACAATGGCCACTCCTGCACGAAGAAGGTCCTCCAAAGCGACACCTCCATGAAGGACACAACGTGAGATACCATTACAACTCGTCCGAGAAATCAAAGAAATGTTTCACTTGGATGCCAGTGCAAAGGGATGGAGTGATGTGAGATGCATCCAAGGAGAACAACGGCACCCAAGGACAGGTGTGACTGATCGGCGACCAGCTGCGCACTGCGCGGGGCTGCACCCGCGCGGTCAGTCCTGCCCACCTTAGTCCATTAGTACAGCTACTACTGCTACAAATACTACTACTACGTTACTACTACTAGTAATAATACTACTACTACTATAATTATTTTTATATGTATATATTTTTTATATAAAAAATATATACACGTATACAAAGTTTATATACGACGTATACAAACTTTATATACGTACATATTAAAAATTAAAAAAAACTAGAAAATACATCATGTACGTAAACTTTGTATACACGTATACAAACTTTATATCCATGTATATAAAGTTTGTATCCATACATATAAAAAAACAAAAAAAACCAAAAGGAAAAAACCCAAAGAGCCGAAAAAGAAAACCAGAGAAAACTTAATAAAAAAGAGAAGAAAACCAACCGGGAAAAACCCACCACGTGGGCTTCCCACGCGTGACCGCTGCCCCCCCCTCCTCCACACGTCCATCCGCTCGGGGGGGGGGGGCACGGATATTCGCCAATTAGCTCTTTCGCCCAAGGATATCGATATCGTCGAAGCCAGCTAGATGGCATAATTGAACACAAAATTATGATGAGGATTTCGCCATACATGATGGAAAAGAAATGTCTTCAAACCTGGGGTTATTGAAACAAACCCTTCAAACATGCATGAGATTTGTGTTACTCATGCCTAGGTTTTCCCTTACCATTTGGACTGGGGTTACCGTATCCCAATGGTAAGTGCATTTAACTAAACAAATTAACCTTATTGAAATTTTAAATATTTGTTTTTTTAAAAAAATGTTATGGTTGGCACGTTCTTCTTATTATTGTACCACGACAGTAAGCTTGGTTAACATGGTAACCACATGGTGAGAAAAACCTTACTCATGCCTAGAATGAACAAAATATTTTATAAAATTGAACACAAAAAGGAGGTTCAATGCTAGTACCTTCTTCGGCTAATTAATTCAGTCCAACGCATGGTCGCATGCACATTTGGATCTTCTCGCATGTGCACCTGTTGTGACTGAGGTTTTCTGGATAATATATTCAGCTCCTGATCCAAAGGTTTGGTCATTTAATTTGTTATATTCTCAGAAGTACATTTGCCGAATCTGAAAGCATTAATTATATGTACTGAAAACTTCCAATATATGGCTGTCATGAAATCTTTCTCCCATGTTCTCGAATCTTAATTTATTCTGTACTTCTCTTTCATTTTTATTTTTTCTGCATTTTTCTTCGTTCAACGCAGCCAACCATGTGTGTGCGCAAATCTGAGCTCCATCTTCGAGCTAGTTCTGGCCGTCAAGATAATCTAAAAAATAATTAAGCAATCATTCATGCATATATCCTTATGGCGAACGCCGGGACAAAATGCATTATTGTACACACATCAAGAAGATAGTGAAGTGTCAAGCTACAAATTGATTGCACCCATTTACATCAATAATCAATTGACCATGGACTAGTTTTTTCACAAAATAACACAACTAAAACACATTCCGATTACAGATGATTACAGATGTCGCTTTTCCACCTAACATCATAAATCCAACCGATCGAGAATACCACGCATATTCTCATTTTTTCTTTCCCATTACACGCAAGACACATACCTTCGTATGGAAAGCGAGCATTAATTCAGGCGTTCCAACAAACAAAAAATTAGGCAAAACTCCTTTATAAATGCTAAGAGTCGATTCTAAGCCATTGTCATGCATAACAACCATACTCATTTCTTTTTCTTCCATGTCATCAAATTTACTTGCATGACAATAGAGAGAGACTCTATTGTCATGCAAGTAAATTTGATGACATCATTTATTAGTGGTCTCTCTCTATTGTCATGCAAGTAAATTTGATGACATGGAAGAAAGAGAAAGCTTAGGACATGTACAACGGTCTTTATTAGTGGTCTCTCTATTGTCATGCAAGTAAATTTGATGATATGGAAGAAAGAGAAAGGAGTATGGTTGTTATGCATGACAACGGCTCAGAGTCGACTCTTAGCATTTATTAGAGCAAATTTTGTTGCATGGTGGTGAAAGAAAGGAAAGAAGAGCAAGAAAAAGTATTTTAATACATTAATGGTTAGAGACCATATTGTCTCTAACTGTTGTAGGATGCTAATCTCTAAATAACGTAGAGCTCGTAACTGACTCTACCTTTGTGCATGCCCTATATGGATCACTAATCTGGTGACTCTACCGCATATCTATTCTTTTTAGTTTACTTATCATTGCTATGAATTATTTGCTCCACGTTTCTTAAACTAGGAAGGTAGCCCGCGTGATGCGCGGGCATGTATTATAAATTATGTTTGAAAAAGACTTAAAATGACATAATATCAGCCAGATGACATTTGCTATTTCAAAAGTATTGTTTATCCATAACTTATCCTCATTAGTGTTGCTTAGATAATTTTTTTAATCTATTTGTTAGCTTTTAAAATATATAATATTTAATACATTCCTATAAACAATTATCTACGATCTCTTCATTATCTACAAAGGAGTTAGATTTAATTTGTTTGGAAACATGTGGTGTTTTGTTTTGTTTAATAAAATATTTATGTGCTTTATTTTTTTTAGCAAATCCTAAATAATTATTATTGTTAATGAATATGTTTTATTTGTACTACCAAGCTAGTCCTCCTAGTTGGTTCACATTGACACAATTTGTTGCATATTTACATATAAATTTCTAAAGATATTTCGTTGACCTCCCTTTCCTGATATATGCGTGATCTATAGTATCTTTTTTTTTTAAAAAAATGTTATGGCAATGGAACTTGTAATAGTTGTTCAAATTTTAGTGAAAAGTAGGAATCGATGTTCCTACTGATATTTTCCATGTCTTGTTTTATTTTATACCACTCTTATTTTAAGCTCAAAACATATGTGTTATGAATCTTTAAATTGTTGGTTTAATTATGAATAGAGCAATTTATATTAGAAATAAGATGTGTGGCTAAAAAAATATGTATGTTTTAATATTATTGATTATTTGTCCTTTTAATTTGATAGCTATAAAAATATCAAGGAGGGGTAGAGGGGAAAGTGCGAGCCGAGGAGTGAGGGGATGGGTAGTGTTGTGTTTGTGCGCATGTGAGGAGGAGGACATTGTTTTGGGGGGGGGATTTTTTCTTTCCTATTTTTTTTTATAAATGACTTAAGTGAAAACCGATGAACTTTTTTTCCTAAAAATTCAAATAATTTTTTTCTAATTATTAAGATGTAACACCTAACGGCTTAAGATTTTTTTTTAAAAAAGTAGATCTAATGATTGAAAATAATGGATCTACAGATTTAAGTTGAAACCGGTGGTCAAATGTTTTTTTCTTATAATTTCTATGATTTTATTTTTAAATTTAAGCCATAACACATGACATTGTAATTGCTCTATAGAGAATGTATGATGATTTAAGGTGACATAGTAACTTTTATCATTTTTTTATTGTTCTATTTTTTTTTATTTGGTTGACACATATAGGTGTCTACAAATGACGTATTAATTATTTAGAGTGAAATATGGGTAATATGGATATTGAATTATTTATTCATTTATAATTAAGACAATAGTTGAAACAAACTTAAAAACCAGATATAGCTTAAGAATTATAATCATTTAGCTTTTTAATTGATGTTTATTTTTTATATTAAG